TAGGGGTAATTATGAAAAAATATGGAAGAAGATAAATTGAGAATTTTATTTTAGTCCTTACGTGATGCTTTGATTTTTCTTTTCCTTATTATGCGATAAAATGTACACATTTAATTGAGTTCTTATTATTTGATAAAATATACTCATATAATATTGAGTTCAATTTGATCTTGATATTTCTTGTAAATATTAAGTTTCAATTCATATTCGTAGATAATATGCATTTACACTTTAATTTATATTTTGAATTTCAAGTCTGCTCTTATTTTTATTAACTTTTTTAGTTTTTTTTTTCGGATGTTGTTTAAACAATATTTATGCTTTAAGCATCTAATTTATTTTAATTCATGTTCGTAGATAATATGCATTTATACTCCAATTTATATTTTGAATTTCAAGATCTGCTATTATTTTTATTAACTCTTTTAGCTTTTTCAAGTGTTATTTAAACAATATTTATGCTCTGAGCATGCTATTTATTTTAATTCATATTCGTAGATAATGTGCATTTATACTCCAATTTATTTTTGAATTTCAAGATTTGCTCTTATTTTTATTGGCTTTTTTAGCTTTTTTCTAGTGTTGTTTAAACAATATTTATGCTTTAAGCATCTTCTTTATTATTTTTCATAATCAATGAAATAACTATTGGAATATGTTATTTCAATTTGATTTAAGCTTTCATTTATATGGTTATTACTTTTTATCATTTACCAAACAAAACAAACAACTTTTATCATTAATAAAATACAAATATCTTTTTCATAATATTGAAACCATTAAATGACTAATACTAATTTTTTTGGCTATACGTAAACCAATTATACAAATAATTTCATTTAGTTTACCTATTAACTAAATTGCATCTATATTAAAAAAAATTATGATTTATATGAAAGATTGTTTAAATAAATAATCTAGAAAATAGAATTTACTCGATTAAAAAAGAATACAAAATTTTATAGTAAAGTGAGGGTTGTTAATTAAGTAATTGATTGGTTTATAATTATTGTAACATTTGCTTCCCATCAAATACCTATTTTATTTTTTCCATTAAACTATACAAAATAATCACGTGCATAATGTTTTTTTTCTTTTTTCCTTTAAAAAATCCTACTAAATAATGTTGTTAGGACATAATTTTTAAAAAAAACTATAGCTTTTTGGACATGGTGAATGTATATCCTAAAATTTGGGAAATTGTTTTTTTTTTTCATATAAAATGTCATAATATATGTGAGTGGGGATTCGATTATAGTTTTCTTTTTTTCCCCCCTCCTTCTCTCATTCTTAGAAAATGAGTTTTTTTTGTTGTTTTGTCACAATATTTCGAAAGCCAATTTTTTTTTTTTAGGTTTTCTTCCCTTTCTACTTGAAGCCACTGAATTCCCTCGTTTTATTTTTCCCACATGATAAGTGAATGATAGTTATCAGTAAAATTTATTTTTTTTCAATCAAATTCGATAATTTTTTAGCTTTTGTTAGTCTCTTTTTAACTGTTAAAATACTTTAACCATCCATCATGGATGAATGAATAGCGTTTTTTTTTTTTTTTTTGGCTCAAAGTCTTGCATTAAACCTAGGCAACTTCGATTTTGAGTTTTTTTTCCCTTTTTAATACAATTAGCATTGTTGTTCAAAAAAAAAAAAAAAAGGGATTATAGTTTTTTAATACAACTTCGTTATTTTTTTCCTTTCTATTTGGATACAAACTAAAAGCTAACTACATTAATAAGGCAACTTTTTTTTATAGTATCAAAATTCAACTGCCCACACTTCATTGTTTTCTTCCTTTTTTTAATATAATTTTATATAAAAAGAGAAAAAGTTATTAATTTATTATTTTGACAATCAAAATTTAGTTGGAAACTTCCAATCTTAAGCTTTTATGAAAGGTTAGATGAATGGTAGTACGACAAAACAAAATTTATTATTTCCTTCATGTTTATGGGATCTCAAATTCAATTTCCAATACCTATAAAATAGAATCCTTTTTTTTTTTTTTTTTTTAATGATGAGGATAAGGTCAATTTTGATACTTCAAGACTATATAATTTTTTCAGTCGAATTTTAAATAAGTCTCGGTTTTCTAAACTTTAATATACTTAAAAACTAATAATGATAATGACTAAGGATAAGGTCAATTTTTATATCTCAAGACTATATATATAAATTTTTCAATCAAATTTTAAACAAATCTTGCTTATCTAAACTCGAATATACTTAAAATGTAAAAATATGTATCTTGTTTCGTCGTTATTTAATAATCAAATCCTCAATAATATATGGGGAGCAAATCATTTTCTATGAGCTTAAGCTTCTAAACCTCATTTATCACATGTTATTAAAGTTTACATTGTTTCAAACTACCATTCTAAAGAAAAAGTTAAAAATGCTTAAAAACATTATCTGGGAAATGTAGCTATGATTATAAAAGAACCAAAAATACATGCATTTTTTGACTTTTTAGACCTTTTTATTTATCGAAAAAGTTGTACATTTGTATTGTTTGAAAATTTATCCCGAAAGAGTATTATAGGGTCTTTCCACAACAAATATTAGGTTAATATACTTTTAAAGGAGTATGAGGAGATATTTAATTTTTTCCGAAGAAAAAAATCAAATATTTTTGTGTTTGATAGATTTAAAAAATTTAAATTACTACCGGAAGAAATATCTTTCATTATACAAAAAAATAAAAGAAGTGAGAAGTTTACTATTAATGTTAGTATTATTCCTCATGTGCATTGTCGTAATCCAAAATTTGCCCCCTGTTTGTTTTATAATTTATTTATTATTATTTTTATTTACATAAGAAAACTTTCTCATGAGCTTTTATTTTTAGGTTTATTCTTATCATTATTTATTATTTTTATTAGGTTTGCTTTCATTTTTTTTCTTTGAAAGATTTAAGTTAATTGTTGGCATTCAACATTCTATCATAAATACAAAAAAAAAAAAAAAAAAGGAAAAAAATAAAATACCAAAAAAAGATGGTTGAATTTTGGATTTTTATTTTTAGGGTTTTATTTGTAATTAATTTAAAAGGTTTATGGGTTAATGTCAAAATACTAATAATAACAATTAGGAATAATAGGGGCATAATTAAATGAAATTAAAACAAAAAAAATGGAATTGAAGAGAAATCATGGTGTGAAAAAGCATTACAAAGAACTATAAAAGAGGTGGGGTTTTTACTTTTTTTAGACTATTCATACACTCATAGAACACTATTCAATTGATGGTATTTTTTTTTTAATTTTAAGTTAGTGGTATTTTTTTTATTTAAAATACTTTTTCAAGCATTTATTTTGCTCATAACGTTCTTCACCGCCCGTTTTACTCGTACATTGAATGGTATTTTAGTAATTTTAGGGGTTTTTTTTAAGGTTTTTTATATGTAAAAATTTGCTCATGTTGTTTTTTCATCGCTCGTTTTTTTAATAATTTTTATTTTGATTCACAACTTTATTTTATATTGTAATATAGTGTATAACTATTAAGAAGAGAGAGCAACGGAGAGAGGGGGCGAGGAGAGAGAGATCTATGTATGTATTTTTAATGAATTTTTAGAATATTGTAGTTTGTTTTTTTTTATTGATATAATTTATAAGAAAAATTCTTTTAATTTTTAAATGATATTAGCATGGTTATATATAATCTAAAGATTAAAAGTGTTTTTAGATGATTCATCCGAGATTTATTTGAAAAACAAATTATTAGTTAAAAATCCATGAATTTTTTAATTTTCTTATAAGATTTTAGTTAAGAATTCGGATATAGAATAATAAATTGTATTCTTTTTAGCGAGAAAACTTATAAAAAACACAATGAACAATTAGCTAACACACAATTAAAAGATAATATAATAGTTTTTTTACCTTCGATTTTATATATTTTAGTAGATCCTAATATAGCACATACAATCAAATTGAAATCATTTTTCAAAATAATTTTACATGTTATACCAGATCCGTAGTGTAGTGCAAGTTAAAAATTTGTCAATACTAATATGAGTTGATTGTGATAAGTCAATGGTGTTATCGAAATTTTTGATAGATGAGAGATCCAATTGAAACTTGTAAAGTAAATCAAGGATTCGATTGTAGTTTACTTCTTATAATTATTATTTCTTTTACTTGAATTTCTTTTCTTATTATTAGCAATTTTTTAATTCTAAATTGAAGCTTAACTCACGTTCTAATGGGATAAATGAGACGATAAACAATTATCACAAGCAATAATACCTTTTGATCTCATTTATATGTAAACCAAATTCATTAAACAATATCTTCTAAAAGACATGTCTTTATCACAATTTATCCACTCCATTAATAAAATCAATGGCATGATTTATATGTTAAATATTTTTTTTATTTGCTTATGTTTTCTCATCTAGAAACAATTAGTCAATGAAAAATATTTTATTGTTAATAGAAAAACAAGTTTAAAAAAGAATAACCTGCAATTGTCAAATCTCCAGAGATGAAATGTTTTACGAAACTATATTTGTCACTAAACCATGATTTCTATCACTAATTCATTGTTATCTTTTACTTTTTAATATTTATTTTTCATAAATGTCGAACACCAAGTTTTAAGTAGTTTCATTAAAATAGACAAATAATAAAAAATAATATTTTTCACAAACAAGTTAGGTTATATGAAACAAAAATAGCCTAAACATACCCATATCTAATTCAACATCCACTCGATTTTTTTTTTTAGAATCCATGATGTATTAAATTGTAAAATAATATGTATCGAATTCAATACTTTACATACCTTTAAGAACAATATTTTTATAAAAATAAAAACACATATTATTGTTCTCACCGACTCATGTAACCCATCACCCTACAAAGCCCAAAGGCCCATTGGCCCAATAATGAAACAACCCTGAAACCCTAGAAGCAGAAAACTCCATGGTATAAATACCCACATAAACACTTCTTGACCTAATCCTCTCTCTCAAAGCAGCTCTCAAAGACGAAGCGGAGATGGTTTCGCTCAAACTCCAAAAGCGGCTGGCCGCTAGTGTCCTAAAGTGCGGCAAAGGCAAGGTTTGGATTGACCCAAATGAAGGAAATGAGATCTCCATGGCTAATTCACGTACGGAACAAAAGCCCTTCTCTCTTTTATCATTTCGTCTTGTTTTTGTGTTTTTCCTGGTGGGTTTTGTTTAGTTTTTAATAGGGTGGTCTTAGCTTTTTTTAGTTCTATGTGATGTTGAAATGAATGTGAAATTAGTATGAATTTAGAATTATTTTATTTGTTCTTTTTTGGGTTTTATTTGGTGGGTTTTTCATTTTTATGAAATTGAAATGGAAGTTTGCAATTTGTTCGTGTTCGTTGAAGCTGATTTTCTATGGGAATTGTAATATATATATATATATATATATATATATATATACATGGTCCTTTTGGCTCTATTTTAGTTTCTGTAAATCAGGGTGAAATTTATGTTTTGATTAGTTTTGTATTTCTGTTTATTCAAGTTTGATTTGTCATGTGAAATTGAATTCTATTGAAATGAATAATAAAAATCAATTGGAATTGATTGGTTCTCGAGAAATATTTGTAAGTAGTTCTTGATTGTTTGGCTCGCTCCTGTAGTTGTTGATTTTGTGTTGTGGGTTTGTAATGATACAGGCCAGAACATAAGGAAACTTGTAAAGGATGGTTTCATTATCAGGAAGCCTACTAAGATCCACTCTCGGTCCCGTGCCCGTCGTATGAATGAAGCTAAGAGGAAGGGACGTCACTCTGGCTATGGTATATTACTATTTTTCACGAACTCTTTTCTTTCAGCATCATTGGCGTAAAAGTATAAGCTGATTAGTTTCTTTCATGTATTTTTTTGTGGCTAGAAGCTTGCAATAACTTTCAATCTGTTTGGAAACCACTCTAGGTAAGCGTAAGGGTACCAGGGAAGCTAGGCTGCCAACCAAGGTTCTCTGGATGAGGAGGATGCGTGTCTTGAGGCGTCTTCTCCGCAAGTATCGTGAGTCAAAGAAAATTGACAAGCACATGTACCATGACATGTACATGAGGGTGAAGGGTAATGTGTTCAAGAACAAGAGAGTTCTAATGGAAAGCATCCACAAATCAAAGGCTGAGAAGGCAAGGGAAAAGACTTTGTCTGATCAGTTTGAGGCTAAGCGGGCTAAGAACAAGGCAAGCAGGGAGAGGAAATTTGCTAGGAGGGAAGAACGCTTTGCAATGGTAAGATTTATTGTGCCTTGCATGAATACTTGAATTCATTGTTGATTTTCTTGAACATATGATTTTTGTTGGTTGATGTTGTGGAATTGCTCAGCTCTGCTATCATGTTATAAATATGGTTACAACGATGAATTATTTAAATTCCCAGATAGATGCTTATTTATGGATGGCAATGACAAATATACCTATCTTGTAAATTAAGATGAATCTTTAGACCACCTGCTATGCCTTTGTGTCCATGTTAACTGCTGTATGTTTTTGCCTTGGTGTCCTAACAGCCACAGAACAGGGCATTAATGATATTCTGTCAAATGAGATTGGATTAAGCCTAGTTTTAGAGAATTTCATAGATATCAGGTTATTCTGTATAACATGGGATGTTGAGATTGCTCATTGTAATTCTGTTCAGGGACCTGGGGCTGAAAAACCAGTAGCTGCACCGCCTCCTGCTGCTGCTGCTGCTCAACCAACAGAGTAAGTATATATATGAATAGAATATACAATTTGACGGAGGCTAGTCTTTATCAATCCAATAGGTTGACTGTTCCCTTTCTTGTTTTGTTTGCAGGGGAACTAAGAAGTCCAAGAAGTGATCCTAAGCTCCAAGGATTCTTAACTTTTGCTTAGTGTATGATCTTGTTTGTTGCTGTAGACTATGTTATTTTATATTTTAGATCGAAGGAAGTTTAAGATGTTGCTATTTGACAGTATATGTAGCTCCTGTTTTTGTTTATCAAAAATCTATATCTGTTCTTACGAAGATTTTGGTTTGTGTTTTAGCTTGGTTGAGCCTTTTGCATTCTATATCCTGCTACCATGTTGATTTCTTTGTAGCCGGTATTTTTTCTATTTTATTTCTTCGTTTGGTGATACAAGGCTTGTGTTGGCTTTTCTTGCTCTGAGTAGGTAACATGCTCGGTTGATTATGATCTTCAAGAAAAAGATCATAACTTGGGTTTCCCTTCTTGAGGAATGAATAAGATCGAATTATGCATGGTTGTAGGAAAAAAATGGCAATGATACACGACTATCCAAATCATTTTTCCCATCACCATTTATCTAATAGATGGCATCAAACTCTCCTTTGTTTCGCAAAAAGTCTTTCTAATTTGAATGTTTTAAAATATTTTTAGTAAAAAAAAAAAAAATCTTTTTAAAAACTGAGTTCGCATGTATTTTTTTGTTAGTATACATTTAATTTTCAAGGGTAATGTATTAAATATTTTTTTTTGTCTCAAAGAAATCGTTCTATTTTTGTCCTGTATTACATGGAACTAAAATTAATTTAAGGAGAAATCTATTTAAAATTTAGATATAAATAAATTACTAATTAAACTAATGATTAAGTTTAAATAATTATAGAAAAAAACATATTTTAACCAAAATATTTTATTATTAAATTTTTGAGATGCAATAAAAAATTATAAGAATAAATGTTTTTTATATAACAAAAAAATTTCTTTTGAATTTTTTATATTAAACGTATATTTATGTATAACAAGGAAGTACAAAGAATATTAATTTTCATTCGACTTGATAAATATTTTAGGATAAACATAATTAGAAAATGAAACAACGAGTATGATAAAAAGTGTGTAAGTTAATATAGTATTTAATATATTTTTTAATTTGTGGTAAAAGTTTAAAAGAACTCAATAGTATTTGTGTGGAAAGTGTAATAAACTTTTTTTAGGTATTGTTTGTTTATAATGAATGAATTAGAAATAGAAATAAAGACTGAGGGTGAAAATAAAAATTGTTTTCATTCTTATTTTGTGGGCATTCGATTGAAAAAAACGAAGTTAAAATATGAATGAAAATTAAGAATGAGAATAAAAATTAAACACAATTTTATTTCTACAGGAGGTATAAATAAATATAAAAAATGATAATAATTTTTTTTTATTTTCAACATAAACATATATTATTTTTATTTATTATATATCAATTACTTATATCACATTCACTACTAGCTTTAACATGTAGAAAAAAATGTAATAATAATAATAATTAAAAAAATTTTAATTTTAAAATTAAAATTAAAATTTTTTTAATTATTATTATTATTACGTTATCATTTTTTTTTCTGTTATTATTTTTTTTTAATACCACCATCGTTGCTACTTTCTTCTACTGTTACTTCTTATGGAGTTATGGTATGCTACTTGTTTTGACAGATTCTTCAAAACATTTATTTTGCACAAAACTTATGGACGTGGGCTTGCCCTTGCCACGAGAGAAAAACCAGGGACAATCTAGAAGAAACCATAAACACAAACTGAAAAAGCCAACCTCGTCAATTCAGAACTACACTATAAGAGAAGTGAGGTTCTGTTTAGTTCAGTTCCAAAACCAGACATCATGGCAGGAGTAGAAATGTTCCCTAAAGAATATGGGTACGTAGCTTTTGTTCTCGTTGCTTATTGCTTTCTCAATCTCTGGATGGGATTCCAAGTTGGCTCAGCACGCAAGAAATACAAGGTCCCATATCCAACCCTTTATGCCATTGAATCAGAAAACAAAAATGCCAAGCTCTTCAACTGTGTTTAGGCCCTCTTTCCTTTCTCTTCCTTTACTTTTCTTGTTTTTTGTTTGGTTTCTTGAAATGTGGATTTTGATTTGTATTTTTCGGTTTTGTGGTGCAGAGAGGGCATCAGAATTCACTAGAAATGATGCTTGTGTTCTTTTTGTTGATGGTGTTAGAAGTGATTGTTTCTTTCATCTCGATCATAATTTTAAATTACGAATACGGTTACAATCACAAATTATTACTTACTCGAAATAATAAAATAACGAGTTATAGTTATTATATAATACACAATAACAACAATAAAATACTCGAAGTCATTATATAACGACAACTACATAATATAACGATTGTTACATTATATAAATCTATGCTGTCAATATTTACCATAATCTATATTGATTGAACATTGATTGAAGATAAAAATGTCCTACACAAGCAATGTCATTGATTTCTATTCCCGTACAGGAAATATGTGTTGGGCAAAGAAACACAAATAACACAATGGAACCTCTTTGCCCTTGCTTGAACAATCAACCACAGGCTACAACCAAATACCCAAGCCAAACAAGTAACTAATAATATGAAAGATAAGCAACCAATCACAATCACGGAAAGCACACACAAATTTTTACATGAAAAACCTCCTCAATTTGAGAAGGGAAAAAACCACGGGATCGGAGTCCACTATAACTTACACTATCAACAATAATGGGTATAAGGAGTCCTCTTTAGATTAAATTAGATGAATAATCAGCCACAAACATCAAATGTTACACACTCTTAGCAAACCACATCAAAAGATGATACATAGAGAAAGTAGAAGAAACCAAGTTCAGATTTTATCAAAAAATGACACTGTTACAAGCATAATATCTCCCTCTCCAGGACTCAAAACCAGATCTCCACCATCCAGAATGTGCGCCTGCCTCTCATGAAAGTGCTCACCAAATTTGAGCTCGATCCAACAGTTAACGAACCCAGAAACTCAATTTTAGCGTGACCGATCCGTGTTGAAACTCTCATTCCTCTTTCTCTCTAAAGTTGCGGCTCTCACTCTTTTTCTCTTATTTTTCTCTCTTGCTTCTTTCCTAATCTGATTTCAGAATAAAAAATACCAAAATTATCCTTTAAATGATTAAAAAATCCTCCTCTATATGAGTTTCAAAATTGGACTCATGTAGGCAAACTTTTAGGTCATTCTCCAACTAGAAAGGAAAGCCAACAATATGGGCACCTGGCAATGATGGGGCTTATGGGGTGCACAATTTCATTCGGCATTAGTCTTCTTCAAGGATAGTCCTATTGCTTGTTCCTGATAATTTTTCCAGAAAAGAAGGGCTAGCCCCAAGTTCAACCTGCATTCTGTTTAGTTTTATGACATCTTTGAGCCCCTTCGAACCTAGACGGTTCATAAAACTAGCGAATGTCAGCCCAATTTCATTTCCGGCCAAGTTCCTTGTTGATTCAATCATGGCAAATTGGAGAAAAAGATGAGGCACGTTTATGTTTGGTAGGGATTTGCAGGAGTGAATTATAAAATAATCCCTTTAGTTTTGTGATTAATTATGCAGTTTGTTTTGCCTATTTTATTTTTTTATTTAAAAATAAAAACTAAATAGATATTATAAAAATACTGACCAGAAGGAATTTTTAAAAATAAATAATATTAATGCAATCACAGTGGAGACAAGTTAATAAACTCAATAATTAGTTTTTAAAAGAAGAAAAATTAATTAATTCACTTTTCAAAATTAGGGGGACTAATTAATAATTTATTCATATTTGAAAGTACCCTTTTTCTTTTTCCTGTTGGACGGAGTACAGCCGTTAAGCTAGACTTCATAGCCTACCAAGCGTTGATTAACGATAGTATTAACCTTGACGCTTTGGCCAGTTAGCTCATGGTTTGCCATAGGCAGGATCTCCAATCCACAATCAGGAGATATACTTTACCAGATTAATGGTAGTAGTTAGCAGAGGAGAAGATGAGATTATATTTGAATCTATCATCGTTATAAAAATTATATTACTACGAAGATTGAATTGATCATCATTATAAAAACAAGAGATTAATATAATATTTTCTTGTGATGATTTTTTTTAATTCAAATATTTCGAAATAGGAATTTGAATCTGTAATATTTTTGCAAATGTAAAGTGTTTACTCCTATTAATCCATAAAGCTATTTATTTTTTTGATAAATTCTTTAGTTTGATGGATATTTTTTAGGCGATGCACTAGTTTCAAGATTTAAATAAAAAGAAAATCAAAAGAAAAGCAGATTTTTTTAACCATCAGATTTGAAGATTGTAATTCATTGCCCAATACTAATACATAGATAAACATGATAATAAAACTAAAAGAATGAAAACCACTATAGCACTTTATTGTTTATTCAATGTTTTGTTTTTTTTTTTTTTTTGGATTGATAGCTTCCAAGCTTTTAAGGAAATTGCTTTTTATTTTGGTCCCTTTTTTCTATTTTTTTTTATTTTGATTATTAAAATTTTTATTATATTTAATTCTTATCCCTATAATAAATATTAAAATTTTATTATATTTGATTTTTATCCCTATAATAAATATTTTTTCTTGGCTTTTAGTAAAACTTTATGTTCTTGTGTTTTATTCCTATTTTGTGATATGTTTTTATTTTGGTCATTAAGTTTTATCATGTTTGATTTACTATCCTAAGCTTTTTTTTTTTTTTTTGGCTTTTAGTAAAAATTTTCTTTCTATTATAATTCCTATTTTATGATTTTTTCTTTGTTTTCTTCATTAAGTTTAGTAGAATTTTTTTAGTCTTTGTTTTTCAATTATTTTTTATTTTGATCATTAAATTTTTATTATATTTGATTTTTTTCCTTTGCAAGAAACTATTTTTTACTTTTAATAAAAAAATTTGTTACATTTTGATTTTTGTTTTGTGATCTTTCATTTATTTTGATCATTAAATTTTTATTATATTTAACTATTATTCATTCTACATTAAAATTAAATACAGTTTAACTATTCTAAGTTTTTTTTAGTAAAAAATATTTTCTGTTTTGATTCTTATTTTATTATTTTTTTATTTTGGTCATTAAAAAATTATAATGTTTTACTTTCGTTCATACCTTATGCATAATGAATTTTTTTTAGACTTATTGTTTATAAGTTTTTTTTTCTTAGTGAAAGTTTTTTAGTTATTTTGATCTTTATTTTGGTTTTCTCATTTAATTTTTATCGTATATAATTTTATTTTTATTTGCTTTGTCAAATTCTCGATTCGACAAAGGCTTTTTTTCTTTTTCATTTAGGTGGTTTTTCTGTCTCATTAAGAAATTACGGATGAATAATATATGGTAAAAATCAATCATCTAAAATGCAAAAAACTACCACATTATTATTTTAATTATCAATTATTATACATATTTTAATTATATCAAACAATATCTAATTAGCGACATTATATTATTCAACTTTGTAGACTTTTCATTTAGTTAACCCCTGCTATAAATTATGAAATACATATTTTAGTTTTTTTCTTTTTCGAATTTTTTTGCATGATACTTTTAAATAATTATTTTTAAATTTTAAATTTTATATAAATGAACACATAAAAATGTTGTATAGCTCACTCCGCGGCAATGCACGGGATGTATGCTAGTATCATTCTAAACTAAATCTTTTTTTCGTAACATATTCATTCATTATTCGAATCTAAAAAATTAAGAACATAGCTAAAAAATTTAACAATAGACCTAAAATAGCCTAATTTATTGCCTAATACTTAGATATAGTTGAAGAGATAAATCCAAACTAAATCTCATTTTTGGATGATATACTAATCCCAATATTCGAAAACAGAACAAAATTTCTTAACAAACATATCTAGAAGAATCTAATCTATTCCCTAATACTTACACGTTGATGAACATATCAATTAAAACTAAATTATTTTTTTAGACAATATACTAATTTCGATATTCGAAATTAAAAAATTGAGGGTAAAGGAAATTTTTTTAACTCATAGATCTAAAAAAAAATCGAATTTATCGTCTAATATTTTTATATAACGAGCATATCAATCTAAATTATTTTTTTTCTAGGATATATTAATTTTAATAATCGAATCTAAAAAAATCGAGATCAGAATAAACTTTATTGACCAATAGACGACTCTAATCATTGTTTAATGGTTAATTGTAGATGATAATTGCTGTTAGAATATAAAACAATGGGCTCGACAAAAGGGGTGGGCAAGTTCGAAACCTGGACAAAACCAGAAACGGCCTGCTGCTTGTTTTGCACAGAACTTATGGATGTGGGCTTGCCCCTGCCTTGAGGAAAAAGCCAGGAACAATCTAGAAGAAGCGATAAACACAAATCCCAAGAAGTAAGTAAATTATAAATTAGTCCTTTTAAATTTAAGAAATAAATTAACTAGTCCTCCTTTTTTTGAAAATTAGAAAAAGCCGGCTACTATGTTTTGACAAATTCTTCTAAACATTTATTTTGCACAAAAACTCATAGATGTGGGCTTGCCCTTGCCTTGAGGAGAAAGCCAGGAACAATCTAGAAGAAGCCATTAGCACAAATTGAAGAAAGTAAATAAATTAGAAATCAATCCTTTTAATTTTAAGAAATAAATTAATTAATCCTTTTTTTTTCGAAAATTAGAAAAAGCCGGCTACTTGTTTTGACAAATTCTTCTAAAACATTTATTTTGCACCAAACTCACGGATGCGGGCTTGCCCTTGCCTTGAAGAAAAAGCCAGGAAGAACCTAGATGAAACTATAAACAAAATTACAAAAGTAAATTACAAATTAATTCTTTTAGTTTTTTTTTTAAAAAAAATTATAACTTAAATTTTTGTTTTTTTTTATTAATTTTATTTTTTTAAAAAATAAATAAAAAAATAAAGAAAAATTGATAGGAAAAGATGGTATTTTTGAAACAAAATAATATTATAGCAATCATTAATGGATTAAATAATTAGTTTTGAAAACAAGAGAGAGTAATTAATTCGTTTTTTGAAAATAGAGGGACTAATGTGTAATTTAATCAGGGAAAGTCAACCTCATCAGCTCAGAACTACACTATAAGAGAAGTGGGTTCTATTTCATCTAGTTCCAAGATCGGACATCATGGCTGGAGTAGAAGTGTTCCCTAAAGAATTTGGCTATGTAGCTTTTGTTCTTGTTGCTTATTGCTTTCTCAATTTCTGGATGGGATTCAAAGTTGGCTCAGCTCGGAAGAGATACAACGTCCCTTATCCAACCCTTTATGCCATTGAATCAGAAAACAAAGATGCAAAGCTCTTCAACTGTGTTCAGGTCCTCTTTCTCTTCCTTTTCTTTTCTTGTTTTTGTTTTCTTTTGTTTTGTTTTGTTTGGTTTGGTTTGGTTTGGTTTGGTTTCTTGAAATGTGGGGTTTGATTGGTTTTTTTGGTTTTGTGGTGCAGAGAGGGCATCAGAATTCACTGGAAATGATGCCTGTGTTCTTTTTGTTGATGGTGCTAGGAGGGATTAGGCATCCTTGTACTTGTGCTGCTCTTGGTTCTCTTTTCATTGTGACTCGGTATTTCTATTTCACTGGCTATTCTACTGGAGATCCTAAAAACCGCCTCAATATTGGGTTTGTTCCCTTTCCCTCTTTCTCTCAACGTTTGCCATATTCTATCTTGATTGAAGATGTAGATCAGTAGGAAATGATATGATCAATTTCAGTCTGTTCATACCATATGTTTAAGCATATAAATGCGTAAATCACGTTGACATATAGGATCTGTATAATTTCCGAGTCGATCAATTTCAGTCGGTCTATGCATGATACGTGCAAATCATCATTTGAATGTCATATACGTGTAGGATTAACAAGATTCATACTTTATTCTTTTCTTTATAACCCGGGAACTGACCTCCCTTCAACCACCTTCGTTGGGTAAGTTTATCTTAAAACTGGAGGTTCCAAGCCCCTTATGCTCTTGGATCCTGGAAAGCAGGTATAAGCCTTATGATGGCCACAAGGAGGCTGGGAAGTGGGATTTGAACCTTGGGTCTTTTGTTGGAAGTCTAAGGCTTCTACCACTGAACCACTTCTTGTGGTTACAAGGTTTCAAACTAGCATAGCACCTATGTTTTAGCTATTGATTATGTTGGAAATTCACTGCTCTTGGTAGTCACTCTACACATAATCTTGTGAATTTTATGTCACACATGTGTAGGATTAACAAGGGAATGGCTAGCATGAGACTTGCTCATACTAGCACCAATGTTTTAGCTATTGATTGTGTTGAAAATTCACTCATACGCATTCTCTTGGTTTGGAAATGTTTGATAAGATGACTGAAACATAGATGCTCGTATAAGCACACACCCATTCTAGTCATTCTCGATTAACAACAGTGTGAGTTGCAGTTGTGCACATTTTTACTGAGGTAAATTCAGAGTAAAAATTTCTTGCTCAGTAATGTTAACGATTTCTCTTCATGTACAGGAAATATGGGTTCCTGGCTTTGTTGGGGCTTATGGGGTGCACAATTTCATTCGGCATCAGTCTTCTCAGAGGATAGTCCTTTTCTGTTATGTTCTTTACTTCACTTGTGGCTATGTTCTTTACTTGACTTGTGGTTTTGCTTTCCTGTAACTTTCCATGTTCATCCATCTACATTTCTGTGGTGGTTTGTGTTTTGTGTTACATAAGTTGTACTTTCCTTGAACATTAATGGTAATGGGACCTCCCTTGGATTCTCAAATCTCTTGCTTCTGCTGCCGTATGATTTGCTAGCTGATAGCTCTGATATTTATTTTTCCTGTACCGACCCATTTCCAATGTACAGAATAATGGACTAGTTGACATGTCCAGATCAATAATTTATGATTTTAGGAGAGATCCAATTAAGTTGACCTTTTCAATATACAGAATAACATTGATCATACCTTTTCAATATACAGAATAACATTGATCATGCTTTGAAAATGTAACAAGAGTAGGTGGTTGATATTAACTTCCTCGTATTATTTTGTTCTTAAATCCTTCTGATCTGAATGTGATTTGGGGTGTCTTATTTAGTTTTATACTGCCAGTTTTATCGTATTAGATGGCTTGATTCAACTTCATCCTTAGCAGTTCCAGTTGCTATCTAACTGTATATTTTTATTGCATGATTCAAGTTGATATTCTTTTAAAATCATTTCTCCATTGTCTTTGACTTCCTTCCGATTCAAACACACTAATAGAATACCCATCGTCGCCTCCGACCCGTGACCGGATGTTTGAAAATCCGATCACAAGAGTCATCATCTGTATTTAGTGGCATAGCATTATTCTTTTCCAAAGACAATTCGTTTCTTTTTAAAGGAAAATGAACCCTTAATTTGTCTCTGTCAGACATGGGAATTTTGCATCTCAACTAGCAATGGTAATTTCCAACACAATTTGTTTTTGTCAAAGCAGGAAAGTTTGCATTAGATCAAATTGGTTAGATACAGAACGATAATGGTATTGGCACTAGGCTTTTTATTGGACTTTCTAACGTTCAAATCAGGCAATACTGAATGGTCCTGGTATAGATGCTAAAACAATCAAAGAGAATCTTTGGTTAGGCTAACTCAAAAAATGGAAATTCCAGCAATTATAAGTTCTGGAGTTCGATAAAAGCCAAGGAAAGATGTACAGCAGAAGGACTCTAGCCCACTTCTACAGTCAGTAAACTTATCTGTCTATATTGTTTTGTAGGGCTTAATTGGTTGCCCTACCATGATTAACACCACCAAAATATAGGTAGGTACCTACGACTTACTCTTAGCGAAAGATTCGAACTCAAGATTCGAACTCAAGATCTCTTGCGATTGTATGGTGGCTATTAGGTTATCATGCTAGTTGACTCGAGATTTTACGCTTGAAATTATTCGTCGAAAAGTCTATTAGGACTCCATAATTGTCGTGGATGAAGCTTTCAGATCCCTCCATGCATGTCTTACAACAAAATTAAGTGATTTAATTGGTTATTAAAGCAGTCAGAGTGAACCAAATTTAATCATTCAAACAGTAATCATTGCCATAAACGACTAGTTGAGCCCTAAAGCCTGTAATAAAATCTCACCAGAGAGAGCCATTGCCACATTTCTGCTCACTTCTATGGATGCGTCAACCATTTCCCGTTGAAGGAAATGGTTTAATGTTAGATATTAAGCAGGAGAGAACAACACCTTCTCCTGATCCTTGTAGAAAATGGTTTAATGCATGCATCCTGCTATAATTGCACTATTTAATTGGCCCTTTTAGGGTTAGGGTTTTATTAGAAATATCCTATGGATTTACCTGTTGTTGATTGAGAATTGAAAACTAATATTCGAAAGAAATTATATTAATTTCATAATTTGTATATTTTATAACAACTGCGTCTTGTATTATCCAACTAATTCCAAATAATCTCAAATTTTGACTGTGATATGATATCAATCTCTTTCTTGAGATATAATTTCATAATTTGTATATTTTATAACAATTATGTCGAGTATTATTGAACTATTTCTAAATATAATTTCATAATTTGTATAATTTTATAACAATTACGTCGATTATTATCTAACTAATTTCAAATAATCTCAAATCTTGACTACGATATGATATTAATCTCTCTTCCTAAATGTAATTTCATAATTTGTATATTTTATAACAATTACGTCAAGTATTATTGAACTAATTTCAAATAATCTCAAATTTTAATTACGATATGGTATCAATCTCTCTCTCTCTCTCTATAGACATATATGTATATAGAAATATTTGTGGGACTAACCTATACTTTTTGACTGAAGTAAAAAATGTAACTGTTATCATTTTTGACTAGCAAAAATACCTTGAAAACCAATAATTTTTGTCAGAAGCTAGTAAATTTGCATTGACAGATGAAATTGGCCCAGACACAGAAGGATATTGGTATTGGTGCTGGACTTTTCGGTAAAGACTTTCTCGAGGTGAAAAAAAAATCAGTCAACAATGAATTATTTGGTATTGCTTCAGGCAAAGGACAAACCACCGAAGAGGGACCAAACCTAGCCTGCTTAAACAAACTGAAAAATGGAAACTTCAAGCTAATTTCATAGCTCATTAAAGCCTACTCAAATTGCACTAAACAGGGAGCCTAACCCACTCCAAAGTCCAATCAAATTACCTTATCTGAACCATGAAGCCTTTATGTAGAAGGAGCAACGTGTCCAGATACCAGCCTCTGGATGTATCTCTTCTCGTCACGATGGATAAGTATTTTCGGATCAATTTTTACACATCGAGACTAAATTATTTATTTTTCATTTAGTCAGAAAACACAAACCATCTATAGTTAGAGAGAATTCATGAAAGTTTATTAATATATTTGAGATTTAAATTTTAATGGTTAGAAGAACAATCCTTTAACTATCATACAAATCCTTCCAATTGATCTATCTTGTTTTATTGGTTATTTATTCGAATAAATATTTTAATATGTCTTTATATAACAGCAGACATTTCTAATTTATCTCTATGTTTATAATTATATATATTATGTTCTTAAATAATGTCATTTTGATCACTTTATGACAAGTTTTTAACCAAATTGCCTTCGATTGAAATAAAAAAATAAAATAAAATAACATCACTATGTCTTTTATTTTTGAAAAATCTTTATATTATTTTTTTCATTTCAATCAGAGGCAATTCAATAAAAAAATTTACTTGTGATAAAAAAATTAATTAAAAAATAAATTAAAAATTTAAATATTATTTAACGATAATAGATGTAATTAAAAACTTAAATTATTATATAAAAACTCAATCTGTTTTTGTAATTTGGGGAACTTTTATTGCTATGACATCACTAATAGGTAGATGGGTTTTACACCCAAGTAGTGGTATTCAAACTCATCCATGATCAAACCTTGTTTTAGTAGGTCCGTGAGGCTTCTGCCTTATCCAATGGAGGGCCGCTTTTACATTTCCTTTTAACCCCTTCCTTTCCTGTTGAGAAAGATGACCTCTCGATACGATAAGAGTCCACGACGAAGGTGAGAAATCGATTAAAAAGCTTGTAATCTAATGATAATAGTTTCGATCACGAGCTTATCGATTAAAAAGCTTATAATCTAATTATAATAATTTTGATCATAAATTTAAATTTTAACAGATTAATTTTATTAAAAAATCTTAAACTTATCAATTAAAAAACAAAAAGAGCGAGGAATGGCAAGTTGGGCAATCACACTTTGAACCTCACCTTGCTCGTTGTGCAAAAATCCCTTTTCTACCGGCTTTTAAGGACCACCAGCCGTACCCACAAGGCCATTTTACGTGGTAGTTGCACTGAATACTATCATGCATCCGAAAAGGATATGCGTAGAGTTCCTGGCCATAATATATATATATATATATAGCAGAAAAAAAAAAAAAACCACCCTGTTATAACAACCAATACCTACTCGAGAAATCTAAGTAAAATATAAATTAGTGATTTTCGTTTTGAGAAACTAATTAGTCAGTCTTTTACGTTTTAATACCCTTAATAACTCGATCGTTTTATTAGTTTTTCGTTGGATTAAAATTTCTTTTTAAGTTGTCCTTTATTTGATACTTTATTTTTTTCTTCATTTATTTTTTCTCTCTCTTTAATAAAAAATCAAAAGAAAAGTATTCAGAAAACCAAAACACTAATCTGAAAAAAAAAAGATAAAATGACTAAGTTATTAACGAAATTAAAACGTAAAAGACTAAATAATTAGTTTTTAAAAGAAAAGAGATTAATTTATTTATCTCTCTAAACGGATGGACTAATTTATAATTTACTCATTAATTAGTTCTTCTAGTTTTAAAAACTAATGACTTTGTTTAATATCTAAAATGTTCTTTTAATATATATATATATATGTGTGTGTTTTTTTTTTTTTTTTTTTTTTTATATTTGCTGGGAGAGAAAGGAGGAACATGTGTATGAATGAGATAAAAAATGAATAAAAAATAACGATTTGAGAAAAAAAAATACTATAATAAAGATATCTCATCACCACTCTATTGAAAAATTGATGAAAAAATTAAGTTATTAACGAAATTAAAACATAAAAACTAAATAATTAGTTTTTTAAAAAATAAAATTTATTTATTTATTTTTCAAAACAAAAGAGACTAATTTATAATTTATTCCAATAAATCTTGATTAAAATAATCCATTACCTCCATCGTAATAAACGAATTTGTCATAAAATTTTAATCCAAAATCATCCACAAAAATTTTGTTAACAACGACCGTCGTGTCTATTTCCTCCCAATTTAACAAACATCAACGACCTAGCTCTGTTTTTAGTCAATGCCACTTTACACTGCCATCACCAAGCATCCAACCATTTCATTGATTCAATTTCTAATTTAGAACTTTGGCACAAACATCATCAATAATTGTAAGGAAAGAGAATAATATTGTCATCCATTTCACATGCCAACATATCATATTTGCATGCACGATGAAAATAAGACAACCTTAATCGTCTTAACATGTTTCTAAACACGGAAAATACAATAAAACTAATCCTAATTATATAATTTCTAAAAACATATAATAATATATTTAAATCACCGAATTAACTATTAGAATAATTACGTTAAATATCTTCGATGTTACTAATGTTAATAAATATGTTTTACGCTTATAGGATTTGAAAATACACATTCTCAAAAAAATTAAATGTTAAATATAATAATTTTCGATGCTAAAAATCCATATCACATCGAAAATAATTTTAATCATCTTAACATGTTTCTAAAAATAAAAAACATATTAAAACTAACCCTAATCATTTAGCCGAAAATAAATATATAAGAGATGATCCTAAAATATATTCATTGGATAATCTTAACATGTTTTAAACGATCTAAAAAAATCAATATGATGTTCATGGTTGGAATCGAAACGTTAATACATTCATCTAAACCGTTCGGACAAGCGTTGTCACGTTGTACTTAGGATTTTGCAAGATCATGAATGATCAAACATAGCAAAAAATTTGATGTAACCCTAAACATCACCAGGCCTAACATTTCTATTACAGTAAAAGGTTGTGAAAGTAAATGTCATTGACCCAAAAAGTAGTAGTAAGAAAAAAATTGAATTATTGCATGAGAGATGGGTCCCTCTCTCCCCCCACTCTACACCTCTCTCTATATATCATTCTTATAGGTTGCATTATTTAATTTTATTTTGAAAAAATGCAAAAAGAAAATTTCTTTTTTTAACATAATCCGTACCTCTGACAAAGACCACTGAAGGATGGTGGCACATGCCTGCTGTCATATCATTCACACAAAAAAATCAATGGACTAGATCTTCCTTGTACGGAGCTGTTAACGGTCAGGATCTAACTCACTCGCTCTTTCTCTTACAAGTCTCTCTATTTTCTCTCTCTACTGTCCTCAGGTCCAGCTTTGTCGGGTCCCCCTTATAAGGCAAAAGACACTGACCTCACTCACTGCATTTTCTCTCTTTTTTTCCCTGTAAACAGTACTGTAAGTTGAGTAGCTAGCTTGAGTGGAAGATTTGAGCTTGAAAGGCAAAACCCACTTGGGTGAGGTCATTTTCATTTTCCTGGAAGTGAGGTGAAAGTGGAAGTTTCTTTCTTTTCTGGGGTCTTGATTTGTGTCATGATATTGGTGAAATACTATGAAAGTTTTGATCTTTTTGTCAAGAAAGTGAAGGAGAAGATCTAAATGGATTTGGGGTTGGTTTGATTTTGAAGTTTGTTACTTTTTCTGGGGTTTTGTGTTTAGGGTTTTGGAAGGGAAGAAATGAGAGAAAGGAAAGGTGGGGTTAGTGAGAGTGAGAAGAGGAGTAGTAGTGTGTTTTTGTTGGATTGGAAGATGATTATTATTATTAGTATGGTAGCTGTTAGTGAGGGTTTTATATAGTAATTAATTAGTTAGACTATCTGTATTTAGCAATATTAATTACTATATTTTGTTATAAATAAGTGTATTTATTTAATAAATTTTTTTAAAAAAGTGGGATATGAAGCTTTCAACATCAGGGTTGGGTGGTCAGCAAGCTGGTCAAGAAGGTATATATCTTATTAATCTTCATTTTCCTTCTTCTTCTTCCTCTTCTTCTTCTTCTTCTTCTTCTTCTTCTTCTTATTATTATTATTATTTATCTGTCACTTTCAGGTTCTTGTTTAGTTTCTTAGAGCTTTAGTCTTCACATTTGTCCTTGAATTTAAAGACATTGATTTGCTTACTATGTTGTGTGTATAATGATTATGATGGTGGTGATGATAGGGGAGAAGAAATGTTTGAATTCAGAGTTGTGGCATGCTTGCGCTGGACCACTGGTGTCCCTACCAACTGTGGGGAGCAGAGTGGTCTACTTCCCTCAGGGTCATAGTGAGCAGGTGTTCTTCTTTTCTCGTTGTCTATCTTTATTATGATTCTAAATTCTAGTTCCAAAAGTAATGCTTGTCTATTTGTTGTTTGTTATATATGCACAATTTGGTGGAGCTTGAAAAGAAAATGAACTTTTTGTAGGTAGCTGCAACTACTAACAAAGAAGTTGATGCACACATTCCAAATTACCCCAGCTTGCCGCCCCAGTTGATATGCCAGCTCCACAATGTCACTATGCATGTGGGTTCTATTTGTTTATTTTAATCAGTAAAATTTCCTTCATTTTCCCTAACTCTAAATTGTTTTGTTTTTCTAAATATTCTGTTATCATTACGCTAAGGTCATCTGGAAATACTAAGCAGTGGTGTGTTTGAAATTTCAGGCAGATGTTGAAACGGATGAAGTTTATGCCCAGATGACGTTACAGCCATTGACGCCGGTAATAACTGATTAAAATTCAATCTTCAGATCACTTGCTTATTAAATTGCCTTTTAGCATAAGAATATTTATTGGTTGTGCATATTTAGTTGCTGCCTAATTGCCTTTTGTTATCATTGCACGTATAGCAAGAGCAAAAGGAGACTTTTCTTCCCATGGACTTGGGAATGCCAAGCAAGCAGCCCACTAATTATTTTTGCAAGACATTGACTGCAAGTGATACTAGTACTCATGGAGGCTTCTCTGTTCCCCGTCGTGCTGCTGAGAAAGTCTTTCCTCCACTGGTAGTCTCTTTCTTGGCTTCTGTTGCTTCAAATATTTATGCAATGTTAATGATTTTCTTTTTGCCCATTTCTTTTTCATGCAGGATTTCACCCAGCAGCCTCCAGCACAGGAACTTATCGCTAGGGATCTCCATGATGTTGAATGGAAGTTTAGGCATATTTTCCGAGGTAGGTTGTGGAATTTTTTATCATTAATTTGACAAGTTTGTACTTGCATTAGGATGTAATGGTTGAATATCAGGATAATGATACTCTATTGTTATTGCTTGGTGCCACCTGGGATTCTCAATTATGATACCATTGCTTTAACCTGTAATAACTCAACCGGGGAAAAATAAGCCGTCTGCATTTTGCCATTACAATAACTTTGTTTAATGGCATTGCGTACTGTCTTACACAGCATTTTGATGAAATTAACTCTGAAGTGACTGAGCATTTAGGAACCTTTTCTTTCTTGGGTACTTGAGAATTATTTCTAATCTAGATCAACTTTGCAGCATGTTAGTTTTATCATTTCTATTGGGGTAAGAATTCTTTTGGTGCTATTTTTGTTTGTGCCCATAACTAGGTTGTTGTAAATTTAATCAGAATTGGTTAGAGGTTGAGTTAGAATATCTGTTTAGCGGTATTCTCATCATGACTCAAATGGGTGGCCAACTTTTTAGCTGCAAATGTATAAAAGAAATGCTAAATGAACAAAAAGCATTACTGATTATATATATCTGGAGTATGTTGGTATGATAGAAGCATCCTTTTTGATGCTTTAGAATTGATATAAGAACCATATTGATAAGCATGATATACAGGCTCATGCAAGTCAGTTATTGGTTAGTACATGATTGTGATTTTTTCTGCCCCTTTCATGCAAGTCTTACTTGAGTGCTAGGAGATATGCCTAGCAAATAGGAACCAATTAAACGCTACTAAGTAAATAATTTGATTGACTTTTCATCATAGCTTGGTAAGCTAACAACCCATTAGAATGTTGTACCTAATTGCGAATTACTTTTTAATGGAAGTAGTTTGCAATTAAAACTAAAGAGGGTCCCAGCTGTATTTGTGTAAAGGATAGCTATTTATGGTTAGTTGTGTCAGCGTACATAAAAAAAAACAACTTATTGACACTAATTAAGCATGAATAAAACATACAAAATTACGTCACTATATGGAAAGAATCATAATTAAAGTTAACAATCATAGATGGATTGAAGAATTATGGTCAAGGAACTATTTGTCCTTTTATATGGAATTTTGCTTATAAACAGTCATGCCAACTTCCTTTATGCACATTAATGAATGGGACAGGTCATAATAAACATATTTATAAAGGGAATGTTATAAATAATGAGAAAACAACAGGGTTTGCGGAAAACTCCCTTGTAAATGTAGGAAGAAAAGCCTGAGGAAGAGAGCAACGTCAAACAAAAGAAGAAGGATTGGAGAAGTATTACAGAGATACAAAAAACTTGAATTTGGACTTGTTAAACTTCATTTAGGCTTAGTTTCTTTGTTTTTTGGTTGGTTCATTAACGGATATTCTTGGCACGACTGTTTTTAGACATTAATCCCTGCAAATGGACAAATGGTTCATCAGCTATAATTTAAATTATAATTCTTAATTGTAATTCTTTAGCAATAATTTGTCCTCCATCTGTATTGTAATTCTACCATGTAAACAGTCTTTATACATATACAACGGGCTACCAAGTTACTTAACCTTGAAGAACTTTGTGTAGAAATCAAATTCATTTATTGATAGGAAACTTGATAATCACCTAAATTGCAAATTACTTTCGTTGAAAAGTAGCTTTGCAATTAGGCAAAAGTATGTATGTGGTGATTAAAAATGATTACCATGTTAAGAAACAAGTCAACATCAAGTTAAATATACAATAGCATTTGTTAAAAGCTTCCTAGGTAGTGATACAAATCAAATTCAAGTTGTGCATGCAGTACATGCTAGGTGTAACTTTTAGTAGTTGAGTGAATATGCATGAAATGAGCTGTAAGAATCGCTGCCATGTATCAGCCAATAATCGACTATATGAGTCGGTTTATCACGGCTCTTCTATCATTTCTTATGCATCAATGAAGTTACCTATTGTTTTTTATTGGTTTAGCACACACCCAGAAACTATACAAATAATCTGAACTACTCATTTTTTCTTCTATCTTTCAAATCCTATGGTAATCCAAACCATTCCTGTCTTTGTACCTCATCCACTGAGCTTGAATGCCCAGGTGCCCAGATGCTGAACTTATTTGGAACTGCTTCTCCTAACATTAGCCATGTTTAGCAGCCTGCCTTAATGCACAACAGGACAAAAATATTTAAACACAAGTTGGGTTTCTGCAAGAAAAGTTAAATGCATCATTTGTTTTCATGACTCACTGACTTAATTTATCACTGTTTGGCTTATCAGACAACTTTAGGCAACTAAATAAAGCAACTGAACTATATGGAACATGAAAACTGTTATCTTTGAACAATTGAACTTCATGTATCATACTTATAATTGAAACTCAAAACTTATATCTAAATACCTACGAACGAAGTCACAGCAGAAAAAGTAATGACTGAATATGCTGGAAAAACACTCGATTTATTTCCATCTAATAATATGGGAGACTGGACTTTATTCTTTATGAACCTTTAAGTGTTTGTGTGGATTATACGCCCAACACAAGGGAAGTAATTATTATGAAGTATGGAAGTAGTAAGGATAATCTGCATATGATAATCCATTCTCCAGAAACCAACCAGGGTTAAAATTTGTCTATGTATGCATTTGGTAGAGAGGTGTAAGCCACCAGTGCTATAGTGTGAAGGACCTCCAATTGAAGCAAAGCTTTTCTCATATGGAGAAATGCTTTGCTCCAACTGGTGGAATTTTACTGTAGTTGTGGTGGCTCACGAGCCAGGCCCACCTTAAAGTAGTTATAATAATGCTAAGAAGGCTCCACTTCCTGGTGTTAACATCTGCACTCACATTGTCTTTGTATAACCACTGCTATTGAGTTGATGTTGTAGTGTAGACTGGGATGTTCTTCTATCTTGTCACTGATTATTTATGTGCAGTCTTATGGTTTTAATTCCTTCCTCATCTTGCAGGACAGCCCAAACGGCATCTACTCACAACAGGTTGGAGTGTGTTTGTAAGTGCCAAAAGACTTGTTGCTGGAGATTCTGTCCTTTTTATCTGGTACGCAATCATCTCACTTTCTCTCCTTAAATTTTCAGTCAATACACCTAATCATGTTGCTTCTATTAGGAATGAGAAGAACCAACTTCTTTTGGGAATTCGCCGTGCCACTCGACCACAAACTGTAATGCCATCGTCTGTGTTATCTAGTGACAGCATGCACATTGGACTCCTTGCTGCTGCAGCTCATGCTGCTGCAACTAATAGCTGTTTTACAGTGTTCTACAACCCAAGGTGGCAAAGGTGTTTGTAAGTTTTTTTATATTCCTGCTTTAGGTTTTCATCTGACATGTATACTTTTTGCAGGGCTAGTCCATCCGAGTTTGTTATACCTCTTTCCAAATATGTTAAAGCAGTATTTCACACTCGTGTTTCAGTTGGAATGCGCTTCCGGATGCTTTTTGAGACTGAAGAGTCAAGTGTCCGTAGGTATTATCGTAGTTGATAGTTTAGTGTTATTTAATTCCGCCACTTAGGTCTTTCAACTCACACAATTCGTTATATTCTGTGAAGTCTCCCTCGTGATTGCTATACATTTCTGCATTTCCATGGCATCGAATCATATAACTGTCACATTATATCTTTTGTCAGTTTGGTAATTAGCTACAGCTGAACTTAAGCTTTGGAGAAGCAAAAAATATTCATGATGTAGAGGTGGCATTCTCGTGTCATGATGCTGAGGGTTAGATGACATGCATGAGTATCATCCCTTTTGAGTCACAGCTAGGATGTTAGGTATGGTAGCCACAAAATCAATGAGTATCAATGTACAAATCATTGTCCACTAGGTTGGCACTGTAGGAAATGCAAAGTTGTCACAACACTATTGGCCTTGCGTGTGATTTGGGCTGATGAGTAAGTTCTTGGTTTTGATAGCGTTCTACCAAAAGGATTCATGATGCATGCCATGTATCCCTCACCATTATGATGATGCCAAGAAACTTCTGCCTCTACATCACTCATTTTATTTTGCCAAACTGCCATGTACATGTGTGCAGCAATGTTTATGCGGAAGGCTTGTCTTGTTCAGGTACATGGGTACGATAACTGGCATAAGTGATCTAGATCCTGTTCGCTGGCCTAATTCGCATTGGCGATCTGTCAAGGTAATTTATTTAATGTGTAGACTCTGGATCCATAACACCATGCATGTTTGTGCTATTATATCCCATACCATGTTATGTAGTTTCTCAATGCATCTCTTCATTTTCAGTTGGACAGGTATAGGATATCTGTCTTTCACACACATATACTGGGAGAGCTCTTTCATCCATCTTTACTTTTATTTTGAACCAAATTTAAATAACCAATTCTTCATGCATGTTTTTATGAATTTGGTGCTGAACACATAGTGCAATGTAGTTTATTATCCCATTAAATATTTAGCTTATGTTTGACAGTAGGGTGAAATTTTTTTACTTGGTCAATGAGGATGTGCATGTTGCCACCTTCCAAATGAATAGGTTGTCTTTTGTGGTTTAAAGTAGTTTTTAATACTGATCAGTCCTGTTGGAAGTCCTGATGTAGACTATTTTTATGTATTAGAAGTTATCGTAACTTGCTTTGAGCTTCTTATCTCAAGAAAGAAAGGTTTACTTTGAGCAAGACTAACAAATTACTCACAAAAAATTCTTTGGAGAGAACTCCCTCTCACTTACATGTATATTTATGTGTGCGCCTCTATGTATACAATGTGCCTTTTTGACGGCCAAGGGATTCTACTTCGCCAACTTTTTATTCATATTCCTTTAACTTTGTAATTAACCTGTACATGTAGGTTGGCTGGGATGAGTCAACAGCAGGTGAGAGGCAGCCAAGGGTGTCGTTATGGGAGATTGAGCCATTAACAACTTTTCCCATGTATCCATCACTATTTCCCCTCCGACTGAAACGGCCTTGGCATCCTGGGTCCTCGTCTTTGCTTGGTACATTCTCTTTATTTCATGGTCCTATTTTATGCCATTCCTTAATAAAGCTAGTTGGATTGTGGTTTATATCAAGGATCTGAACTTAAGAAAGTCTGTTTGTTATGGATGTGAAGTAATAATTTAATAACATGGGAAGAAAATTAACTAGTCTCTTAGCGCAGAGGATGTTAGAAAAGCTAGGATGCAAGGGAAGGAAATGAATAGCATTCCGTAACCCATAAATCTCCATCCAGGTTATTAGTAAATTGCCTTTTGAAGTATTTGCTGATCATGAATCTACATGTGTTGGCCAAACTATGGATTATATAAGAGATTTACAATGTTGCAGCTGCGAGTCGAATAATATAATGGCTAAAATTTGAAGAAATTGAAGCTGGAACAAGAGATATACGTTTAGAAGTTACATGACGAATAGAGAATCCAAATAACACAAGGATTGGTTAACTGAATAAGAAAACCAAAAACAGTAAGGAAAGTTAAACAAACAGCTTCCGCTCCACAGATAAAATACACAATACAGGGTTGATAAATTGAATATTGTTCTCAATAGGTGGATTTTTGAGATGCACGAGTGTATGAACTGGATTGCCAAAATGGATGAACCAGTATGTGACTTACATGCTGCACATGATGGAAGAAGGTGTGGGTTGAAGGAATAAAAGGAAGATCCAGTGTCATGCACATGTAACTGTGGTGGTTTTGCCGTCAGACCACAAGTGTACTATCTGTATTTCCAAAATTGAAAATCCATTCTATTGCTTGGGTGAGGAGTGCTTGGGAAAAAGTAATGTGCTTACTATTTTGGAGTTTTAAAGTTTTCCTTGGGACTTCTATTGGCCTACATGAAAAACTTTAAAAGAAATCCTTTTTGGAATTAAAAACACAATACTTGTCAAAAATAAATTAGCTTGGAGGCTGATTCTCACTGATAAGGAATGCGTTTTTTTGCATATAAAGCACACAGTTATGCGAATCCCACTTGGGTTAAACTTGTTGCATTTTCGATATGTTAATTGTAGATGGCCTATAGTTATAGATTGCACGGTTAATATGCTCAAGCTTAACATATCAACTACTCTAATTGGAATAGTACACTGAAACTGCTCATATTGAACAATTATTGTGTAGCATAGTCCTCTGAAATGTAATCTGACTCCAAGGTCTTGTGTAGGTCTAAAATCGACAGCTTGTAATTTTCTGCTCGTGTTGGTCTAAAGTTGAAAGCTCTCTCTCTCAATTCTTTTTTTTTTTGGTCAACTTCTGTATTTTCAGATAGCAGAGATGAAGCAAGTAATGGCTTAATGTGGCTAAGGGGTGGAAGTGCAGAACAAGGTCTTCCATCTCTGAATTTTCAAGCTAATATGCTCCCCTGGATGCAGCAGAGGCTAGATCCAACGATGCTGGGAAATGATCAGAATCAGCGGTACCAGGCCATGTTGGCGGCTGGTATGCAAAACCTGGGAAGTAGAGATCCCATGAGGCAGCAATTTATGCAGCTTCAGCAGCCTTTTCAATACCTCCAACAGTCGAGCAGCCATAATCCACTGTTGCAGCTGCAGCAGCAGCAGCAAGCAATGCAACAATCCATCCCTCATAATATCCTGCAAGCTCAAAACCAAATTTCAACAGACAGCTTGCCTCGTCACCTCTTACAGCAGCAACTCAACAACCAGCCAGATGATCAGGCTTCGCAACACCAACATTCCTATCATGATGGACTTCAGATTCAAACTGACCAACTCCAGAGGCAGCAGTCAAATTTGCCTTCTCCATCATTTTCAAAAACAGAATACATGGACTCGAGCTCAAAGTTCTCATCAACCACTACCCCAATGCAAAACATGCTTGGTTCTCTGTGTACTGAAGGGAGTGGCAACCTTTTGGACTTCACCAGAGCTGGTCAGTCTACGCTAACCGAACAGTTACCCCAACAGTCCTGGGTCCCAAAGTATGCACATCAAGATGTCCATGCTTTTGCTAATTCATTGTCACTCCCACGACCGTACCCTGAGAAAGATCCCCCAATGGAAGCAGAGAATTGTTCTGATGCCCAGAATCCTACTCTTTTTGGTGTGAATATTGATTCATCTGGACTCCTACTACCTACAACAGTGCCCAGATATTCTAGTTCATCAATTGATGCTGATGTCTCTTCAATGCCATTAGGGGATTCTGGGTTTCAGAATTCTCTGTATGGTTGTGTGCAAGACTCTTCTGAGTTATTGTCGAATGCAGGACAAATGGACCCACCAACCCCTAGTCGAACATTCGTCAAGGTACTAGCGACCAGTAATTTGCTTATGTCTTATCACTGCTCCTGGTTGTTCAAAGGTCCTAGTAATTTATCCTTATTTTTGTTTCAGGTCTATAAATCAGGATCGGTTGGGCGCTCATTGGACATCTCCCAGTTCAGCAGTTATCATGAGCTGCGAGAAAAACTGGCTCAGATGTTCGGAATTGAGGGGAAATTGGAAAACCCTCATAGATCAGGCTGGCAGCTTGTATTTGTCGACAGGGAGAATGATGTGCTTCTCCTTGGAGATGATCCTTGGGAGTAAGTACTCAAGTTTCTCGTTTCACCCTGCTCCAAGAAAGCTCATATTTTATCCACCTTTGCCTAATGCTGCCATTGTTGACCCCATCTGCAGGTTATTTGTGAACAATGTTTGGTATATCAAGATACTTTCTCCGGAGGATGTATTAAAAATGGGAGAGCCAGGTATAGAACCCTCAGGCCAAAATGCAGTGCAAAGGATGAGTGGCGGTGTGGCTTAAGACCTTGCCTCTGGTTTGCCGAAACCGAGTGATCTAGAGCTGTATGGCATTCTTCCTTCCACGTAGTTTATCAAATGCTCACTCCCCAGAGTTGAGATAAACTTGCATGATATCCCATCCCCTCCAACGTGTGCACGTCTCCCTCTTTCTTTGTATGTCTCTCAAGTTATTATATATTACTTTGCCTAGACTAACTAGTTATTATGAAGAATTTGACTTTTATCATGGATTAGATACATGTAAGTTCACTAGTAAGCCTAAAGAATTAGAATGCGGGCCGAATGGTTCTAGGTATGTAAACTTGAATGAGCAATCATGCCATCCATGTTATTAAAATATTATACTGTTTTGCTATTTTTATGGTTATTATTCAAGCAAGCGTGACAGACAACTGCATATTGGTGTCCAAGTTGATTAATTATATTGTGAAAATGCAAAGGTACATTATGCTTAATGAGCTTATGAAGTTATGATTTGAAACAAGCAATATTTTCGAATCGAATGACAGTGGATTCATAGGTGTGGATTCATAGGTTTACTGATCATGAAGGTTTTGTAATTGCCAATGCCACAGAACATGCTATTATCTTTAGTAACTACTGGATAATTGAGCCACTCAGTTTTGATTTATAAGGCTAAATAGTATAAATATTTTTTTTAACTTTTCATTTGATGAACTGTTTTTTATTTGAAATTGATTTTTTATATTAGGTTTTCATAAATTCTATTGTGTAAGTATAATTTCTTAGCAGTTAGAAACATATCAGAACCTATTTTTTTCTTTCTAAATGCTAAAAAATAAGTAATTAAATAATGTTTTAAAAGGAAGAAAAAAACAAAATTTGGCATATTTTTAGCTGTTATGAAAGTATTAAGTTTTTACTATTAAAATTTATGAAAACCTAACCCTATGATTCAATTTTAAAGAAAAAATAATTGGAAGAAAGTTTAATTTAAAATTAGAAGTTGAAGAAATGATTCTCAAATAACTTAAGATTCAGAGATGGTTTGGACCAGTTAGTCGGTTTATAATCATGATCTTTTTTGGTTATTAGGTTAGGTCATTTCTTGCAAATCCATCTTCCATGCACAACATCTTCATCATTTTCCATCATTTAGCTCAAGCAAGAATGAACAAAGCAAATGGATTGAGTCTATATAAATGAAATAAGCCCTGAGAATTTGGTTCATGCAGGCTATTCACCATCTTGGTAGGCCCACGAAATTTCACTGGCCTAGCCATGCTTCCATGGGCTGCTTGGCTTCTCTCCCAAAAAAAAAAAAAAAAAGAGCTTTTTATGTGTAAAGAATTTACTTTGTGACTTAATACAGCTTATGAAGTTGTGCTTACCATTTGGTATCTGTATCAAAAATCCAGTCGATGCATATGATGCCATTTTCTAACAATCACAATCAGAAGTATCAAGAGATGCCTGCACAAAAATCTAAGAGTTGTACGTTCCACGTATAACAATCAGCAAACATTGAAGCCTATGATGTTAGAGAAGGATTCTGTTTCGCTCTTGATTGTGGGTTCAAGGATATCATAGTTGCTTCCTGCTTTTCAAACCTGTCCAAACCTTTTAACAATCACTGCCAACCACACATATTGGGTGCTCTTTGGCAATGGCAGTTTGCCCTATCCCGACGGAGCCCCACCCTGCTCCGCCTAGATCAACACAGGGATTTTTAGAATTGATTGAGAAAGGAGATGAGGTGTCCCGCCCCATATTAATTTTGAATGGGATGAGACAAGAATGATGTTTGCCCATCCCACTCAGTTTGCCTAACTCTATTCCTGAAATTATAATTATATCTTACATAAAACCTATGACTACTAACTCTTAGATTTATTTTTTATATTAATTATTATTTTTACTGTTATATTTTAAAATTTGATAATAGAACAGAATAAAACAATCTATATTAATTATCATTTTTTTGTTATATTTGGAAATTTGATGATAAAATAAAACGAGACGAGACAAATATGATATGACAATATTGCCCTGCGCAAGGCACGAGGCAAGAACGTGGCAAAAATTTTCAAACCCATCCCCACCCAGCCCCATTGCCATTCCTAATTGGATTTGGTCCCTAGATTAACCCAGATCAGCTAATCAGGTTACAGACCACATTAGCTAGGTCTGCTTTTAAATTGGGATGAGTCTGTAACACGGAATGAGAATCTTCCTCTGTTTACTGAGGACCTACTGCTCCATAAAATAGAAGGGGCCTCAAGGCCTTCAACAAGTTCGGAGAGTCTACCCACTAGGAAAATTAAACATAAGCTCATAAAATAAGTAAAACAGAATAGATATGAGTCACCCCACGCCACCTTTTCCATTGGCTTTTATGGAAACACTCTTCAAATTGAAGATATCAGATGTGGGCACCCCGTTAATCGGGAATAAAGGCCATGGACAACATGGACCAAAGATTTAAAATTTCTTGGATAGATCTCAGACATCGGAACCATCTGGTTTCATAACATACTTGTTTTCCTGTTTGTCACAAGAAGCTGTTCATGAAACACTACAAAACTGTAAAAAGACCAACAGGGAGGGAGCAACCTTAGGTAAGAGCTGGGGATATGAAGAAGATTGGGTAGAGAAGTCAATCCAGTACAAAGAGAAACAAAAAGATTACTTAAAGCCCAACTACTTCTGACCCTCTTCAGCAGCAGCTTCAAAAGTCTCACCAGGCACAAGATCTGGGACCTCATCATCATCTTCTTTTGCTGGTCCAGCCTCACCAGCTGGCACCTCCTTTTGAAACTGCTCTGCCAACTTCCTAAGGTTGTCCAAGTTATCCGGCCCTGCAAATTGCAGTCACAAAATATCAATCACACATTATACAAAATAGAGAATTGGCTATCAATTTCGCTTTTGTTGGTCAAGAGGCATCAGTTGAGTAATTCAAAAATATTGAAGTTAAATAATAATGAGTTCAATGAGAAAATGCCTTCATTTGATTAAATAGATTTCGAGAAGAGTAACTAGAGAACAAGCTTGCACCGCACAAGTGCAAGAAAAGGGTATGCAGGCACCAGCACACACCACTGCATATGTGTGCTCATGTGCCCAACTCAACAAATGAAGGCATGTCTGTTTTTAACTACCATTGCCAAAATCTCCAGTGGAGTGCAGATGAGAAATTTGATTAAACTTTTACAAAAAGAATATACTCTCTCCAGGGGTTTATCAATACTGAACAGGAGGTACTTTCAAGAAATTCACTCATTCAATGTAGGTGGAAAAATGTATGAGAATAGTATGGCATATAAAATGGAGACTACATGTAAAATTACATACCGAGTTGGTTGATAATCCCTGGAAGAATATCTTGCAGTTCTGCAGCCACAACAAATTCAATCCGTATTAGTCCTTGTCCATCTCACTAACTCATTCACTCACACATGCATATAAAACTTCAACAAATTGAGCATTGACCAAATAAAAGTAGCAAAGTCATGTCCAGATTAAACACCTACTTAAAATCAACAATATCACAAAGGAGAGAAGCAAAGTCATTTCAAGATTAGAAACCTAGTTCAAATAAGCATTGACAGATGAAGCATCTCACTAACTCATTCACTACACATGCATATAAAACTTTAGCAAATTAAGCATTGACAAAAGACAGTAGCAAAGTCATGTTAAGATTAGACACCTACTTCAAATCAACAACATCACAAGAAAAAACAGCATTCATTTGACTAAAATAATACCAAATTTTAAACAGAAGAACAATACAAATAAGCTAGAACAACTGTTACTGAACCAAACCAATGCATAAATTATTAGCAAAAGAGCAACCACCCCAGCTGAAATACTCAACAAACAAACAAGTACCTCCAAGTAAAGAAAACATTAAAACTTACTTCTGGTTTGAGGAGTGCCAGTAATAACCCATGTGTTAGCAGCAATAGAGGCTTGAACTTTAGGGCTAACAAACTGAATAACCAAATCGTCCTTAAAGATGTTCACTTCTTCAATAGCTGGAATTGTATTAACCCCAATTCTCTTCAAGGTACTTTGCAACTTCTTGTCATCAGTTGTTGATGACTTGTGCACTGCCTTCTTCTTTCTACAGAAACAAGGGGAAAAAAAAAAAGAACTCATCAGCCAAAAAAGCCCAGATTCTAAAAATCCCCAAAAAAATAAAACATTTATGCACCAATACTAACACAAAGAAGCCAAAGAAAGAAAACCCATGATCTTTCAAAGAAAATAAGTAAGCCCCAGATTTCAAAAACACAAAAAGATAAAATCTACATGCAAATAAAAATTCAATACTACAACAAATCAACCAAAAACCCGAACTTCAAAGCATAAAAAAAATAGATTGAATCTTTAGAAGTTTTACTGTAATACGGTACCTTCTCATGGTTCCCTTGCCCCCGGTACGAACAGAACCAGCCATCTTCATGAGCTTCTCTCTATTCATCTGTATGTATTTCACCACAAAGTTAGTGTCTTTGACAAAACCCTAAAAACATTTGCTATCATCAAAAGAAATGAAAGAAAGAAGTAAGTTGTTAGCAATATAAAAGTTAAGTAATAGTGAGTATTGCCTTGTCAGATTAGGTTTTCTTGAAGAGATAAAAGGGAAAGGCAGCTGTGAAGAGCAGCAGTAAGCAGAGCTAAAAATGATGAGAGAACGGAAGGAGAAATTGGGGTTAGCTTGACGCCAAGGGTTTCCTTGTGCATCCCAAGGGATAATTACTTTATAGCCCTTCTTCCCTTTTCTTTTCCTTTTCTCCTCATTCATTTTCTCAGGACAGTCAAACTTTACTTTGTTATTGTTTGTTTTCAAAATTTTCAGGTTTTTCTGAAATAATTTATAAATTACTCCCTCTCGTTTTAATAAATAAATTTATTAATCTTTCTTATTTTAAAAATTTTTTATGTTATAATTTCATCAATAATTTAATCATTTCGTTAATTTTCTGCTAAAGTGCGAATGAAATGTTCTTATTATAGTGTTTTTTATATTTTTATATTACTTTTTTTATATGTTAATTATCTTATTCACAAACATCTCGTCTCTTTTTTTTTTCTCGATCGCTAAAATAATTATTTTTTAAAATTTTTACTTCTCATTTTATTAATGTCTACTTTATTTCTCTCTCCTCAAATACAAAAACATATCTGCCTAAATATGTGTATATATTAAAGATATTTTAAGTATCGAGTGCTAATTTGATAGATTAAACAAAAAGTAATATAAAGAACTAAAAAATAGGTTTTTAAAATAAAGAAAACTAATTAATTTATTTCTTGGAGCGAGGGAGACTAATTGATAATTTACTCGAATTTTTTTTTATATGATCTCCTCTTTAGATAAAGAAAAAATCAAGGGATTCTCAAACTAGTAATTTATTTAGTTCTTCAAGCCATTTTTAAGCTAATAGATTATAAATTATAATTTGATTGTTAACAGCTAGAAGTTCTATTTTTTTTATCTTTCAATTTATATTTTTGAATAGAAATTTTAATTTTTGATAATATTAAATTATGTATATTCCGTAATGAAATTAAGTGTTCGATTTATGATTTATAGTTGTGATTTTATATTTAATATTTTTTTTATTTTACAAAATGCTTTTTTCCTTATCAATATTTTCATATTTTTATTTATTAAAAAAATTAAAAATTTTAAAAAGGACTAAATGATTATTTTTTGAAATCATAGGAACTAATTTTTTTTTTTTTTCTCAAAGTGAGAGGAACTAATTTATAATTTACTCCAAAAATTTGAGGCCATTCAAGTCCCTTGGATTGGGCTAGTGGTGATGGGCTTCGGCCGTTTTACTTGAATAAAGTTCAGCCATTACGACGCACGGTTTCTCCCAAAAATTCTCTGGGTAAATTTCAATTTGCACCCTGAATTTTAAGTATTATCTTAATTTTACTTTAAACGTTTGACTGATTTCAAATAAATCTCATATCTTTCATGTTTGTTCCAATATGCTTCCATACTTTTTTTTTTTCTCAATAGCTCCTATATCTTTCACTTTTGTTGTAATTTTTCTCTAGAAATTTCAATTTCATTTTTAAAATTTATTAAATACCTCAATATCATCCAAAAATAAAGAAAAAATTAATTAAAATTAACAAAAATAAAAGTAGAAAATTAATAAAAAACATCTTTTTTTTAATTAAAACAAATCTGATAGGACTTGAGAGGGTTAATTTATCAATAAATCTTTAAATCCTTCCAATTTCAATTCTTATTTGGCAACATCATATTTTTCTTCGTCAATGCTATAGTTAGTTTTTTTATTTTGTCAAAACTTTCACTATTTTTTATACTTATCAGCTATTATTATTATTTTTTTTTGTCTCTATTTGATGTTGTTGTCAAATAATATTTTTTATATGTGTATATAATCAAAACACCGTGATGCCAAAATGGTCATTTACTCGAGCTATCATTCTATTCATATGACTTTTTTTTTTTTTTTTTTTTAAGAATTCATGTTTAAAATTTTAATAAAAAATTAGATTAAAAAAAATATATATAGGTATGATATGTTAGTGAGATGGTGTATGTGAGGCATTGACAATGTTGGTAGATCTTTTTTATTAAAAAATATTTTGTATTATATTTTTATAGCTTAATTTTATTTCTGTATTATCAAAGGATTACTGGATAATATTGATGAACAAAATATTTTCTTTCATCATATTTATTGTATTGGAAAAATGTCTTTTTTTAATGATTTTTTCGATTTCAATATTCTCATTCTTAGTTAAAATAATAATTTTTGTTATTTATAAAGTAAAATTTAGTTAAAAATAAAGGCTGAATAATTAAGTTTATTTTGTAGGACGTATAATAATAAACAGTTAATGCCTTTGCTTCACCATTTCTCTACTGCTACATATGTCAGCTTCCAAATATTTGAAAGCAAGCAAGAAAACCATTTCTCTCCTAGACAAAAAATGCCTGACCATCTCTGAAATGAATCAAATTCAATCTCATCTCATTGTCACAGCCACCCTTAAAGACCCATATGCAGCAGCAAAGGTCATAGCTTTCTATGCACATTCAAATGGCAAAAGCTCTCTTTTTTATGCTGAAAGACTCCTCCTTTGCCTTCAAAACAAGTCCACCTTCATTTGGAACACCATGATACAGGCTTTTGTAGAGAAAAATGAGCCCGTTAGAGCTTTCTCTCTATATAAGCACATGTTAGAGAGTAATTACGTGCCTAATAACTTTACTTTCTCTTTTGTTATCAGGGCTTGTATTGATGTTTTGAATTTGCCAATGGGTTTATGTTTTCATGGCCAAGTTGTTAAATTTGGATGGCAAAGTTATGATTTTGTGCAAAATGGATTGATTCATCTGTATGCAAATTGTGGGTTTATGGACTTAGCAAGGAAGCTGTTTGATATGAGTACGAAGAGGGATGTTGTTACTTGGACTTGTTTGATCAATGGATATTTAAAGTTTGGTCAAGTCTTGATTGCTAGGGAGTTGTTTGATAAAATGCCAGAGAAGAATCCAGTTTCGTGGGGCGCAATGATTGCAGGGTATGTGCAAGTTGGGTTTTTTAAGGAGGCTTTAGAGGTTTTTAATGATATGCAGGTTTCTGGGTTTAAGCCTAATCACGCTAGTATTGTTGGTGTGCTTACAGCCTGTGCTTTTTAGGAGCTTTGGATCAAGGAAGGTGGGTTCATGCTTATGTTAAGAGGAACAATATGTCATTGGATAGAATTCTTGGCACTGCGTTTATTGATATGTATGCAAAGTGTGGATGTATTGAGATGGCTTGTAGCGTGTTTGATGAGATGGACGATAGAGATGTCTATGCTTTTACTTGTTTGATTTCGGGGCTAGCTAATCATGATAAGAGTGAAACTGCCATTGAGTTGTTTGACAGGATGTGGGAGGAACGAGTTGTGCCTAATGAAGTTACATTCATATGTGTCCTAAATGCTTGTAGCCGTATGGGGATCGTGGATGAAGGGTTGAGGATATTTGAGAGCATGGGTAGTGTATATGGCATTGAGCCACAAGTCCAGCATTATGGCTGTCTGGTGAATCTTCTGGGGAGAGCTGGGAAGATAGAGGAAGCAAAGAAGGTGGTGAGAGGGATGCCAATGCAGCCAGATTCATATGTCTTGGGTGCATTGCTAGATGCTTGTAGAGTACATGGCGATGTCCAGTTGGGTGAAGAAATGGTTGATAGTTTGGTGCAGCGGTGTCTTGACCATGGTGGTGTACATGTTCTTCTTTCAAACATGTATGCCTCTACTGACAAATGGGACGATGTCTCAAAGATAAGGAAGGAAATGGAAGATAAAATTATGAGAAAGTTGCCAGGTTGTAGTTCAATTGAAGTGAATTGTACTGTTTGTGAATTTGTCACTGGAGATAGGTCCTACTCATTTAGGGAAGATATCATGTTCTTGTTGTTTGGAATTGACAAGCACTTAAAGTCTCTTTATCCTGACTATGATGAGTGTGATAGTGTAACCATGGAGCAAGTTCTCTCATAGCCCAGAGTGGGTGCACAATTAATTGTATTGCAATCGCTAGAGAAAGGTCCTATGCACTTAAGGAAGATATCATGTTCTTGCTGTTTGGAATTGACAAGCACTTAGAGTCTCTTTCTCTCGATGATGATGATCGTAATAGCGTAGCCATGGAGCAAGTTTTCTCATAGCCAAGAGTGAATGCACAATTAACTGTATTGCGATGACTATACATTAAGGAAGTAAGACTTTTTCCCTTATTGGTGAACCACTAATTTGGCTTATTGTTTTTCTCAGCCTGGTGCAATTTAAAGTAAACACTTTTACAGCTGAAACATCGTAAAGACCCTGTAATAAAAATGTCTACCATCATCTTTCAAAAACTGATGTACCGATGTTTGGCTCCGTTGCAGGTGTAGGCTTTCTCATATGAACTGTTTTCCGTTTTCATTTTGTTGCCAATTATTTAATTGCTAAAGTAAAATCGTTTTGCTTTCTGAAACCAATTCATTTTCTTTCGGACTATTTTTCATGTATAGCGTGACATGTGGTAGTTCGATGATATCAATTATACTAGGGAATTTTATCCTTTTTCTTTAGTTGAGTATGTATATTTTTTGTTCCTCATGAATTACCTGTGAATGTCAGAACTCAGTAGTTCGATGGTTTTAGTTGAGTGCTGAAGTTGAAAATAAGGTGGCACATTGTTTTAGTAGCTGCGAAAATGATGTATTTTATTCAAAAAATGACTAATCTAGTACACAACAATGTTAAGGCCAGTTGTTTCACATAGCAATATAACACCATGAAAACATGTGATAATTGCGTACTTGCATGGGAATAAGCTTTTTTTAAGAGCCCTTTTTGATTCTGTGATAACAAAACATGGCCTTTAAAATAGGGTTTAGACTGTCTCTAGGTGAAGGCAGAAAATGCCATCTGGTTTAATGGCTTTCTGATGGCATATTTCTTTGTTCTTGAACTTTCTTTGTTTATCTGTTTGTCTTTGCCTTTCGGAAGAATGCTTCATTAATTTCCCGTGGTTTTAGATTTGGTACATTGTATGGGAAACTGGATCAAAAGACCCCTACAGATAAAGATGTGATAGAATTTAAGGGAGATGAGTTAAAGATGTGATAGAATTTAAGGCAGATTGAGTTCTGTGGCCTACTTTTCACAATAGATGTCAAGTGAAAGTTGTAGGAATTTGCTTTCTGGAATGGCTTTATTCATTGTGCCAATCTCTCATGTTTTGATATGCTGATAAAAATTCACAGGTCCTAATAACTATTCCGCTTCAAGACTTATGGCCAAAGTTGTACTTTACATTTTATGAAACAATCAGTCAGCGAGCAGACACTACAGAGAAAGAAGTAGTGGCATTGGATGAGGAGGTAGAAGTGGACTTGTCCCCATGGACCCTTTCGACAGTTTCAACAAAGGGAGGTCTAGTTGGTTGCGTGTGCTCCTGTGAACCCCTGCTTTTGAGCAAAACAACTATTTCGGACATTGTTGGCCTTAAAGTAGGTGATGATTGGGTGCACATTAAAGCAATCTCTATGAGTTTCTTTGCGTGTTCCCCTTCATATTCACTGGGGTCTAAGGTTTCATCCACCAATTCCAGGTGCGTGCCCTCCTCATATAGCTTCCATGCCTAGTTGACCATGATGCAAACAAAGATTTAAGACTGAAATGATAACATATTAAATAAGCTATCATTCTCTAACAGAAAAGTAAAAAGTTTAGAGTTCACAGGTGGAACTAGTCAGTCATGCTTGAGAACTGCACGAGTCGTGTAGACTTCTTTTAACAGCTGCGGTGATGTAGTGCACCAGATTATGAAAATATGTTTTTACACACACACACAAAAATACTTATATATATCTGATCTAGGCAAGCAAAGACCGTAGAATTATTTATAAATAAGTAAATAATGTCTTCGTTACTGTTCTAGCCTTCCAGGACTCACCTTTTTAAGGAGATATTCAGCACCAGGATCAGAAATCATCTCACTGCTCTTTATGCCACTTATGATTTCAAGGACAACAATACCAAAGCTGTACGTGTCAACTTTTTCCGATAACTGTCCATGGATTGCATACTCAGGTGCTGTGTATCCCCTGAATTCATGGGCATTAATTCAAAATTTGATGAGGTCAGACATAGAGGTGTTTCATAAGTCATTTGTATTGCAAAATGTTTTAATATGGAAAACCCCATCCGTTATGACTGAATGTGAGACACTTAAACTGATTCATGTAACATTAGCATCAATTACAGGTATGTTCAAATCTGCCATCATTTTATGCGATATAATTTCACCCATGCAAGGAAAAATTATACAAATCTAGTTGAAAAATTGTTAACAATTGTTATGAGACTTAAACCTCTTCTATGCAGTGGTGCAACTGCATTCATCTTCCTAAAGGTTGCGATCAGAAGGGCTCTAGAGTTGAGCGTTTCTCATCCCCTAGCACAATAAGTTCATTGGATTGTTGAATCTGATTCTTCAAATGCTATCAGTTGGACTCACAAGAGTTCATATGACAGGCCTTGGAAATTAAATTGTGATTTCAATAGTATTAGAGGAATTTCTAGCCTGGTTCTAATCTTTGTAACTTTGTTTGTAATTTTTTCCTGCCACTTTTTTGCTAGTTTTTAATCTAAGCTTATCGATTCTCATGAAAAAAAATAAAAATGTAATGTTTTTTGTGCTTACAGATGAAAAGTTTACTTCTTAATCTGGTTAGCTTAGGAGATTAGATATGAATATCGCAACAATTGCATGGACTTTTCTAATGTCAACAGTTCAGTGTAACTTACAATGTCCCAGCGAATTTTGTGCTAAGGTGGCTCTGATTTTCAGGTAGAAGCCTTGCCAGCCCAAAATCTGCTATTTTGGGTTGGAAGTCGTCATCCAAAAGAATGTTGCTGGATTTTATATCTCGATGAATGATGCATACATGGAATTGCTCATGCAGATAGGTGAGACCTTGAGCTGTGCCGAGGATTATATCAAATCGTTGTTTCCATCTGAGGGATCCTCGTTTTTCACCTGTTTCCCAAAGAAAACAACTGTAATTTGACTTTTATTTTTTTTCCTGTAACTATTTCTTAAGTGGCATCATTTCCTTTTCTAATGTAAATGCAGTGCAGGTTGTGGCAATTCCTAGGAAGGTCTTACCATGCAGTTTCTGCATTTGACCGTGTCTCTATTACAAGCATTAGAACCTTCGAATAGAATTCTGGAGCAATATTTCAAGTATGGTTGAGATTTTCGAGATAGGAGAGGTGAACTTTACCGTACCGAATAAGAATTTATCGAGGCTGCTATTCGCCATGAATTCATAGACAAGAAGTAATTCTGGTCCTTTGCTACAACAGCCGAGTAGACGGATAAGATTTCGGTGATGAACATTGCTTATAAGTGTGACTTCACTTGCAAAATCTGCTTTTACCCTGTTGGACTGGCCTAGAGCTAGTTTCTTTACTGCAACTGTTTTCCCATTTTTCAAAGTCCCCTGTTAAATTCGGATGGGGTTAAATAAGAATAGAATGGTGAGGCAGAGAGTAGAATAAATGTGAACATTTTTCCTGAAGAAAAAAGCTGTTATGTTAGATGTGATTGTTATATTCTGCAGAATGGCTGCGGTCTTTCTATTTCTCACCTTGTATACATCACCAAAACCTCCTTCCCCTAGTTTATTTTCTTCTTTGAAATTTTTGGTTGCCGATTTCAAGTCCTTATACCGGTAATTGGTGGCGCCTCGCAACTCGGTTGCATCTAATATATCACCTGCTACGATATTAGGAGTTAGGGTCTCACTTTGCCATAGAACATGAAAACTGAAAAATTGTGGCCATGCCATTCACTTTACCTCTATGAGCTGCCTTCGGCTTCCTATACAGTTTAAACCAAACAAACAATCCAACGATAAGCAAAACAAGAGCTGCCCCTCCAGCTGCACCCCCAATAATCGCACCTTTTTTGGAGCTTGATGAACTTTCTGCAAGAAACACAATGATTGATTAGCACAAGACTGGACAGTAGCAAATGGAGAATTCATGTTGGTTGAGAGGAAGTCTCACTAGTTTTCAAAAAAGGCAGGAGATTGATGGTCTGGTTATCAGCAAAGAAGGCTCTGTCCGAGTATCTCATAAAACATCCTGAATCAATTGCCCTACCATTCGCATTTGGAGGACATCTCTGTATGTTGTTATAGGCCACTTCCATGCAAGCTTGGCAACCAGCCGAATCGATAGTTAGCACACACTGTGCAATGCCATAAACTGATACATTTGAACCTGCTACTTCCCTCTTGCTGGCAGCAAAGAAACCCTTTATCCTTGGTGTTGCCACCTGAAGATCTTCTAACAGGCTTGCCACAGTTGTTTGGAAAGCAGTAGCTGGTGCTGATGTTGTCTGATTCTCGCAATACTCACGATTGGCATCCCGAGTTGTCTCCCCATAGAAATCATTCCTCTCGTACCTCAAGAAAGCAGAAAACATAACGTTTATTAACAGGCTAGCTAGTTCCCAGTTTTCCAGGGTGTGTCTAATGTTAAACTCCCTTGGTTCCTGAATTGTTAGGAGAATTTCGAAACGATAGCACCATAAACCTAAAGCTAAACGATGAAGGAAACAATTTGCATGAGACTGACAATTCATGGCAAACTATTCAACCATGTAAAGGTTATATACTTTTCACTGACAGAAGGGATTGATTGATTCCATTTTCTTGTCAGAAATTGCAGAAATTGTCACCATAGGCAACAAACACGAACTCATAGGTAGGGTTTTTCTGTCAGAAAATGGTTTCATCCTAGAAACTGTCGTAAGATCATTTTCGATATATAGAACATCGGAAATTCTTTATATACGATTGAATGGTATAACCTGTTAAAACTGTAACAAAAACTGGTTCATCAGGCCTTAACTTAATTTCCAGGATTCAGAAAAATACCTGAGGAAACATCCATCATAGACAACACGAGCACCGTTGGCCGCAGAACAGTTGCGAATCTGAGCGGAAGCATTAGAAAAACAAGCACTGCATTCAGCAGCAGACATATAATCTCTGCACTGAAACATGACATAAACTGGGTCTGAACCAGTCACACTTGCCTCCGTCACAAAGTGATTGCTGCTGTTCATCAAGTCTGTCCTGACTAAACTGAAACTTGAGTTCAGGTTGCGGTTGAAATTTGAGAAGCTGGTCACATTATAAGTGCTGCAACCTTGGCTTAGCATATAGATTCCTGAGTCTGATTCCCCCAATTTCATCAAAAAACACCATAGAATAATCACTGCTGCTGCATAGAACATGCAATTCTTGGTCTCCATCTTAGTGTTCATCAACAATTAACTTTGATCCTGGTTAAGGATTTTGCCTTTCTACAGAACAAAATTAGAAACCAAAATGATACTTAACAGTGAATCTTTGAAAACAATATCCGCCTCCACAGAATTTTCTATGATTTTTTCAGTATCTATCCAAGATTAATTAATATGTGGAGGTCAGCTAACTGACCCCATATGAAAGGTAAGACAGAATGGACTCTTTCTGTGTTGAAATACAGTCACATGGGCAGCTTTTGTCAAACCACCTGGTTTACAACATTTTTGTCACTTCCACTTGCAGATTTGCAGCCTAGGCTGTCTTAAATAATATATATATATATATATTAGGAAGACTTGATTAATTGACTTATTGACTTAAACCCATCATTTTTTTTAGATATTTTTTTCTTTTTTCTTATTGAGAAGGAAATCCTGCATTATATTAATTTAAATGAAAGGGATCGTCGAATGACAACTGGATTAAATTAAGAATAAATTATAAATTAGTCCCTTTTTTTAAGAAACAAATTAATTAGTTCCTCTAATTTCAAAAACTAATTATTTAATCTTTTTAACCGAGTGTTTGACCATGACTAATTTAATATTTTTTTATTTTATAAAATATATATTTCTCTCGTCAATCTTTCCATATTTTTACTTATTTGTATTCCCTTTCTATTTCTTAAAAAAAAATTAAATTAAATTAAAAATAGCCAAAATTACTAAATAATTAGTTTTTAAAACCTAAAGAACTAGTTGATTCATTTCTCAAAGGAAGAGGGACTAATTTATAATTCACTCATTAAATTAAATATAGCCAGAACAATTCTCATTGTCATTTTCTGAAGAGAATAAAAATAATTGAAAAATGACAGTGACACAATTGCAGGCGTCACAATTTTTTTTAAAATAAAAACAATAATTGAGAAAGGCTAATGACAATTTCATCTGTCACCATAGCCATGCATCAGATCCATATATTTAGATAATCAAGATGCAATAATAGCACAGCCCTAAGTTTGTATTCCTCCAAAGAAAGAAAGAAAAAAACCCAAAATTATTTTTTAGATTAAGAAATAGATTATTGTATGCTTTTCAATTATGTTAGAATCATATTGGTGTATGATCTGTTTTGTAAAAATAGCAAAATTCTCTAAAAAAAATTAATGAGATTTCGAAATAATTTAAATCAATTGATGTAGATACGGATAAGAGATACATTTTCTTTTCGAAACAGAAATAGGATTGGATGGCACCATGCCCCCATCCCGATTAATCTCTAAACTTGATTATATGGTGTTAATTGAATTTTTGAAATAAACCTTTCATTGAATGATGCTTCCATTATTTATATTTTACTACGTATCTATCAAAATAATATATAGCAAAATTCCGTATTTATATGGATTTGATTTTTTATTTTATTTTTGCGTTGTGCATTAACTTTTAAATTTTAATTATTTTATTGCAATTACACATATGTATGTGTAATTGACAAAAAGAAAAAAGAAATTCAAATCAAATTCGGCAACCTCAGTTGCATAAATTTGGATATCAACATAACCTCCCAACACGCGAGTGCATAAGCACATGCGTACGCGCGCGCGCGCACACACTCAAAGAAATTCAAGTCAAATTGAGGAACCTTACTTCTAAGTTGTTTGAAATGGTTCTTCCCTCTCAATCTTTTTCTCTTGATTGCATAAATTTGAAGATCAACACCATCGTAAAGAATTAGGTCAAATTAATTTAAGAAGATGTAAATGATGCCCATGCAATAATACACAACGAACTAACCACGATGTGATGAAGAAGATGTATTTAATGTGTTTTCAAGATCAACAAGCCAGCGAAAATGGTACGTAGGATACATTCTTTACAAGCAAACAATATTTATAGAAGGAGAAGAAGAGATTCCAACAAGAAGAACAAAACAAGAACTATAGACGAAGACATTGATAAAATTATCATCATAATTATATGCTAGTGGAACCAACTTGCACGTTGTTTATGGATGATGGTTTTGTTTTTCTTATTATTTTCTCATCTTTAAAAAATATTTTTTGATAGATGGAAAGATCAACATTATTGTTGCTACTTGCTAGACTAAAATGTTATTGTGGAATTGTTTATACCAACTTGAAACTACATCCACCTTGGAAATTTCTCATGAATGAATCAGTTTGGATACTATAACCTTACAAAAGAGAAAATTTTGGTTTCGATATTCGATAGCTAGTTTAAAAATACAATGATCGATAAAAAAAAAACTAAAAGAATATTGTGTTTTACGATAGTTATAATATAGTTTTAAAATTATTTACGGTATAGATTGAACAATTTACTATATTGTTCATAAGCACCAAAACCATATTGTTTAAAGTGCTTTAGGCTTGAAATGATATCATTTTCTCAAAAATTTTAAGTGATTTTTATAAATATATATTCACTTTGGTCCTTGTATTAAGAGTTTGTATGAAATGGTCCCTTCATGGTCCATGGGCGAGGACTTTGCACAAGGCATTAATTATACATTTAATATAAAGGCTAGAAACACATTTTAAGTCATTGGTTCTAAAGTTTAAAGAAAAAAAAATTTAAAGATTAATTAATAATTGAAAGCAAACATATAGAGTTTGGTCCATGGTCGAGGACCTTCCACAAGGCTTCTGTGGCTTTGATTCTTTGATTCTTTGTTTTTTTTTTTTCTTTTCTTTCTTTTTCAATATCAAAATTTCTCCAATAATTAATGATTTTTTGTAATTTTCATAAAACATCACAAAAATGTTTTTCTTATGACTTGTCAAATTGTTTTTTGAAGTTTGTCTAAGAAATAATCGTTTTTATAAAAAATAATGAATCTTCATTCCTTCGAATAAAAAATAATGATTAATTATCTAATGTTTTAATTTTTTTTAATAATAATAACACTACAATAGAATTAATATAACACCAATTTTTTCCTTTAAAAAAATATAATCACTACTAGTTGGTTGACATTAAGAAGAAAAAAGGGTCAAAATAACATGGATTTAATGACTAATTATTTATCTTCTTTTAGTTTATTTATTTTTTGGCTGATTGTGTCTTGTTTCAAAATTGATCATGATTTTTCAACATGTATTAAAAATTTGATTTCTTATTCTTTGAAATAGCTATTAAAAAAAAAAAATCTTTTGATGTAGCATAGACACATAAAAAAATTGTTCACTTGATCTTATCGTTTTCCTAATTAAATTTACAAATAGATTTCAGATAATTAAAATTAATTTTCAAAATTATGTAAAAAAAAATCAATATTATTTTTTAGATTAAGAAAAAAATTATTTATGTATTTCAATTATGTTAGAATCACATTAATGTATGAGCTGCCTTCTAGAAATAACAAAATTCCCTATACATATGGAATTTCAAAACAATCTAAATCTATTAAAATAGATATGAAGGACATTTTATTCTCGTAACAGAAATGGGATCAAATAATAATAAAATTTAATATTTATATAGATTTTATTATTATTATTATCGCATTGTGCATTAACTTTTAAGCTTTAAATGTTTTGTTGTAATTATATATATATATATATATATATATATATATATATATATATAAAAGAAATTCAAGTCAAATTGAGCAGCTTTACTTCCAAGTTGCTTCTGTTTTTCTTGGTTCTTTTTTTCAAAGGTCAGTTTGCAACGGGTCTTACCTGCCTATCTTTTCCTCTCAATTGCATCAAGATCAACAAGATCATGAAGACGGTCAAATTAATTTAAGAAGATATTTATGATGCCCGTACAATAATGCGTTTTCAAGGTCAACAAGCCAGGAAAAATGGTAGGATACATTCTTCATAAGCATACAGAATACTAGTTGAACAAAACAAACGGGGAAGGTGGAACTTCACTTGGACGTTAATGTTTATGCATGATGGCTTGATTTTTTAAAACTATATATTTTTGCTTTGGTTCTTAGAGTTAAGAGTTTATAGGAAATGATCCTTTTGTTTTGTTCAATTAATATTCGATCCAATATTTTATTTCTATCCTAGTTGATCCTGATTTGACATTAGAAGTATATTGATTTTTCTCCAATGATGAAATACTTTTTTTTTTTTTTTTTGTAAATATTGCATCTTTGATTCCATCCATAAATCAAATTTCTTTCCCATGAGTTCTAGTTTCAACTAATTTTTTCACCTGTGTTACGTTTTGAATCGGATAAAATATATAAAATCATTTCATTTTGATATCTCGTATTATATTATGCATTTATCAAATCAAAATGAAATAAAATTTCATTCAATTTTATTAATTTTAATCAAAATTTTATATTTGACTAATTATTCTTTATATTTTCATAAATGTTTTATTAAAAAGCATTATTTATTTATCTTTATCCATATTTTTAGCTAAAAATTTATTTTTTTAAATTATTTTTTCTAAACATCTTTTTGTCTTAAAATGTTTAATTAAAAAAAAATTAAAAAGGACCAAAGTGAGAAAAGAAAACAAAAAAGAGGGACCAAAATCAAACAAAAAATATTTATAGATTAAAAAAATAATGATTAAAGTGTTATGTCACGAAAAACTTTTATAATAAATGTCTTTAAAATATTTAAAAACTATAAAAATATCACTCGTATAGTAAAATGAATAGTATATCTTATTCTAGGTGAATAGTGCGAATGAGTTTGAGTGAACAGTATTTTAAATAGTATAGTGAATAATAATAATGATTTTAATTTAATTTTTTTATAATAAGAATGCTAGTTCTTACTGTTTATATGTTATAGTATGAATATTAATACCAATTTGTTATATATTGATGTTGAGATTCCATTGACACAGAACTAATTCCAATATATTTATTTGTGGATCACATTAACGTGCATTCGTTAGGAATTGAACCTACCAATTCGTGAATTATGAGTTGGGCTTCTTATAACCGGCCACCTTCACCATGTGCGCAAATCCTGGTGGGCTCTTATACACCATCTCTTTATTAAACGTCGGCCTTCCATTGAAAGCCCAAGTACTGAACGACAAGCACCTACCAACGGACGGCATGTCGTCTATTTATAAGAAACAAATGAACTCGACGTATTGTATTCCTATCAGGAATTGGACTTTTGCATTCTAATCAGGGTTGCAATTGGATTAGCTCAATTTCGATTTCTCCTAACCCTAGCAGGTAACTTTTTTCTTTCTTTTTTAGTTCAGATTCTTTTCGTTTATATTTAATATTTTGCTTCTTCTTCTTCTTCTTTTGCTAACTCAAAAGTATTTGCGGTTTAGACATAATTATCACCATAAAAGGATCGTACATACAGTGGTGTTCAATCCATGGACAGCCATAAAAAAGATGAGAGATCACAAGGCCATAGTAGTCTAAAAGATGGATCGATTTCGAAAAGGGGTGAAGGGGTTTACGTGCCACCATATAGGTCGGCTGGAATGCGAAACGAGGTGCAAGAAAAAAAGTGTCGAATATCAGAAGCTGACATGGGATGCTCTACGTAAGAGTATTAATGGTCTTTTAAACAAGGTTAATGTCACGAATATAAAGAATGTTATCCTGGAATTGTTTTCGGAGAATCTCGTTCGAGGAAAAGGTCTTTTCTGTTGATCTTGTATCAAGTCTCAGATGGCATCGCCATCTTTCACGAATGTTTTTGCTGCTGTGGTTGCTCTTGTCAGTACCAAGTTCCTGATGTGGGTCATCTGTTGTTGAGAAGGGTGGTTTTGCAATTCAAGCGAGGGTATAAACTGAATGACAAGCCGGTGTTGCTGGCTGCTGTTAAGTTTCTAGCACATCTCGTGAACCAGCAAGTGGCTCATGAAATGTTGCTTTAGAACTTCTCGCTGTTTTGTTGGAGAATCCGACTGCTGATAGCGTTGAGGTAGCTGTGGGTTTTGTCACGGAGTGCGGATCAATGCTTCAGGACTTGTCACCAAAAGGCCTGGATGCAGCTTTCGAGCGATTCCGTGGAATTCTTCATGAAGGAGAGATTGATAAGCGGGTCCAGTTTTTGATTGAAGGCCTTTTTGCCATAAGAAAAGCCAGATTTCAGGGATATCCTGCTGTTTGTCCTGAACTAGACCTCATAGAGCAGGAAGATCAATCGACGCATGAGATATCTCTGCGAGAGGAGATCGACACAGAGATCACCTCTGATATATTCAAACCAGATCCTCTTTTTGTAGAGAATGAGAGGCGTTATGAATTATTAAAGAAAAGCATTCTAGGGGAGGAGTGCGATGAGGAAGTTGTTTCTGATACTGTTTCTGATGATGAGGAGGAGGAGGATTATGAGGAGGAATCTGAGGACGACAAAGAACGAAAGTTGAAAGTAGAAGACAGAGACTGATCTAGTAAATCTTCGGAAGGTGATATATCTAACAATCATGTCCAGCCTAGATTTTGAGGAGGCTGGACACAAGTTAATGAAACTTAAACTAGAGCCAGGACAAGAGATGGAGCTTTGCAATATGATCTTGGAATGCTGCATCCAAGAAGGAACTTACCGTCGCTACTATGGCCTTTTGGGGCAGCGTTTATGCATGATCAGCGGTGTCTACCAGGAAAATTTTGAGAAGTGTTTTGTTCAACAGTATTCAACGATTCATCGGCTTGGGACAAAAAATCTGCACTAAGTTGCAAAATTTTTTGCTCATTTACTTAGCAAAGATGCACTGCCTTGGCATGTCTTAGCCTATATACGGTTAACTTTGGAGGACACCACTTCTTCTTCTCGTATATTTATCAAGTCTCTCTTCCAAGAATTGGAGCAGCACCTTGGCCTTCGCAAGCTGAATGAGCGTCTCAGCGATCCCTCATTGCAGGATTCACTTGCATCCATTTTCCCTAAAGACGAAATAAAAAACATGCGGTTTTCCATCAACTTCTTCACGGCCATTGGTCTTGGTGGCATTACGGAAACTCTACGCAAGTACTTGAATACAATGAAGCAGCAAAAACATTTCTCAGAATTCGAATCTGAACCAGATGACAAATCTATCAGAAGAGCTGCTTCGTCAGATTCTGACTTTGATAGTTCCAAATTGGAGGTAGATTCATTAAAAGCTGACAGAAAGGCAGCAAGCAAGAAGCGAACCAGGAGAGGTGGAGGTGACGAAAGACACACGAAGCAGAGTAAGAGAGGTTAAGGAAGCCTGTCTGAACACTGATGAGGCTCTTCATGACTGTATGAGGAAGTCATTATAAAATAGCAGCCATCTCAATAAGCCTTTTCGAATTAGAAGCTTCATATTCTGCATTAGAATCTTCTTCTTTCTTTTTATTTGTGATGCTTTATTTGTTTCAGTATTTATATTATTGCCTGAAGTTGACACTCTCTTTCTGTGCTGTCTTATCATGTTTATTTAATTGATTTGAGCCTTTGTTTTTCCATAAAAGAGATACAGGAAAATTTATGCTTCAGCTTGCTGGCCATTTCATCTTATCACCATCTCTTTTGACAACAAATGCCAGAGCTTTGAAATGGACTGGATATTTTGGATCAGTAACTGTATATTAGCCTTAGCAATTCACAAATCTAACTAGCTTTTTTTGTTTCATCATTCCATGGTTCATTCCACAGAATTATCTACTTAAAGTGGAGCAATTTCATACATCTTGACCAATCTAACTAGTAGTCTAATAGTTCGCAGGCATTGCATCATCCTTCTGTGATTGAATGATAGGGAAAACTTTCATCTGGTAGAAATTATTGGTCTCTTGGCAACGTAAACTTGACAATTAATGAGAAGGATGTCCATGGATTTACTCAAGACAGAGCCATTGATGCATGCAAATGCCTCTAGTTAGGAACACCGTGGATTATTTAGCAGTGATTGAACGGGGAGGCCACAGAAATCTGAAAAACAAACCTGTTTATATTTCAGCAACAAATAATTAAGCCAATCGTAAGAACGTTCTGTGACATAGATAGTGAGAAATACTGACAAGTTTCACCAGCGAGTCAAAAATGCATGGTGAAATTGGACATTTGAGATGATATCAGGCACGAATTTGGCTGAAAATACATCATTTATTCGACAAAGAAGTTATTTCCGCTAGAGATGAGAAAACTCCCTGCATGAGAACCGCTCGTCTGCAGCTCCCACCTGCAAGAAAACCTCCTGTGGTTTTCTAGAAAGACAAGCTGAGTGAGACAGAATAAAATAATCACATCATTTTCCTTCTCGCTTTTCCTGTAGTCTCTGCCAGGTTGACAGTCCTAGCACATCTTTTTGCCAGAACACTTCCTCACAGATGGATCTGAGGCATGAATCCAAGGGTTAAGCCCTAATCAACAACCAAATGGTGTGTAAAAGAGAGGGGAAAAAAAGCGAGTTAAAATATTGCAATATTACACAATATTACAGATAGAGAGGTTTGGTTGGGCAATGAATATTGAATAATTTGTCATTTGATCTTATCATTTTCCTAATTAAATTTACAGATAGATTTCAAATAATTAAAATTAATGTTCAAAATTGTGTTGAGAAAAAATTCAATATTACTTCTTAGATTAAGAAAAAAATTATTGTATGTCTTTCAATTATTTTTAAAAAAATTTTTTTTAACTCACACACCCCGAACCCGTGAGCTTTTGTTGTAATAGACAATTATCATTGAGTTACAAACTCTTTAGTTAGAATCACATTAGTGTATGAGCTACCGTATAGAAATAACAAAATTCTCCATACATATGGAATTTCAATCTAAATCTATTAAGATAGATATGAGGGACATTTTCTTCTCGAAGCAGAAATGGGATCAAATAATAGTAAAATTCAATATTTATATAATTATTATTATTGCTTTGTGCATTAACTTTTTAAGTTTAAATGTTTTATTGTAATTATATATATAACCGAAAAAAAAATTCAAGTCAAATTGGGCAACCTTACTTCAATGTTGCTTCTGCTTTTTTTTTTCTTTTCTCAAAGGGTAGTTTGCAACGGGTCTTACCAGTTACCTCCCTATCTTTTCCTCTCAATTGCATAAAGATCAACATGACCATGAAGAAGGTCAAATCAATTTAAGAAGATAATTATGATGATGGCCATACAATTATGCGTTTTCCAGGTCAACAAAAGGGGATGGTGGAACTTGTACGTTGTTCATGGCTGATGGCTTGATTTTTAAAAATTATATATTTTTGCTTTGGTTCTAAGAGTCAAGGGTTTATAGGAAATGATCCTTGCAATTCATTTGCCTTGAAGTTCTGAGAGAGAAGGGAAGAAAAAGAAAGCTCCCAAATGATCAAAAGATAGAAATCCATACTTTAGATTGTTGAATTTTATTCCTTTTTTTTTTTTTTTTTTTGGAAGAATTTACGGTGGATTAAAACATATTTTGAAATTTAAAATAGTTTTCAAATATCTTTTAGGATGATTTTCAGGTGTTTCTAGACGATTTTAAGGCGTTTGGAGGCAAGAAGATAAAAGAAAATGCGCGTTTTAAGCCCATTTCACTCTAAACTCTCTCTCTCTCTCTCTCTCTCTATAGAGAAATGGTAGGAAAAAGAGAGACACTCTTCAAAACGGATAATATCAAAGAGAGGATCTTCCATTTCTATGCCAAGTTTATCACTGCAATTATGTACAAGAATCCTAGCAATGGTATATTAAGCAATAAGAATAAAAAAAATGCTGTCCCAATTTGATATCCTGTTGATAATCGCTCCCATAATGCAGGCAGTGCCATCCCAAGAAGTTCGCAGTTCCAATCTCTTATATGTGTAAACATGTATGAAATATATATATATATATATATATATATAGAAAAGAAGCAACAACCATTCCATCCCACATATATATATATATATATATATATAGAAAAGAAGCAACAACCATTCCATCCCACATAGTGGCACAACATTGGCCCAGTTTTAAAAGAAAAACAAGAAGATAGATGAACAGTCCTGATAATCTTTCATGGGTTGCTTTTATTCCGATCTATCGTAAAATCAGAGTCTGTTCAAATTTCTGCTTTTCTTATGACCTGCCTCTCACTTGACTCCTATACATGAACATTTACTAACTACGTTGAGTGGACATCTAGCAATTGACATTAAGTGTCATTTACTAAGTAGGTGGACGTCTTGTCATTAACAAATACTATATATCTATGCCATTCACCTAGTAGGTAGAGTTTTGACGTCTTGTAATTCACATCAGAGTCATTTACTTAAGGAGGAGTCAGTCAACATCTTATAATTAACATCAAACTATACATCTATGCCATTTACTAAGTAGGTAGTGGAGACCTCGTAACGAACCTCTGTTTCAAACAAAGCCAAACAAAAGGTTAAAAGGGGAGAAAGAGACTAGATACTGCAAAATCCTAAAATCTTCATTGAGTTATTCTAATACAATAGAATAAAATATTACTCATTCAAGCCTTGAAGCTACCATATGAATTTGCTCAGCTATGAAGTGGCTGAAAAGCTTTTCTATGAGGATCAAAGTACCTTACAACTAGGGTTCTTGATATAATGGGTGTGCTTAGGAAACTGCAGTATCCATCTGACCAGTAAAGGAAGGCATGGCTAGATGGGGGCTAAGTTTAGGTGACCCAGAGTGTTAACAAATTCCTTGCTGTACTAACAAGCATTAGTGGTATACTATAGAGATGGTGTAAAGATAGACAGATCACAAGCAGGTGAATTATATCGTAAAATAGCTGACCACCTCTTAATCACAGAAATCATAATGCTTCCGCTAGGCAACAGATTTAATCTCTTTATAAGAACATTCCAACTCCTCTGCTCACTTACTCAGCTCCAAAATTCAAAACATAAAATTTTAAAGGTTTTCGGTGACTAAAGATTCAAAGAATGCAGCATTGATTTAAATTTTTGTCATAACCATGATGCTTTTCAGGAATTTGACTTCTATAACAGTATCAATTCACATTCTCTCCTAGATTGATCCAAACCATTGACAAAATAATGCATGGAATGGAAAAGTGATGCGGCCTAAAGCAAGTCAACTAAGAAAATGAATCACATGCGAATGAAACAAAACATCTTCAAATCAACACAGGACTTTGCGACAGTTTCTAGCTCTCAGGATCTCTCTGTTATGTACTTTCCAATAGTGTCCCTAATGAGAAGAGACCAGCCCATCAGTAACGCCTAAAACAAGTTCCAATCTTTACACTTTCAGATGGAGAAAGCATATGATAGTGGACATGAAAACGAAATTATGAACAAAAGCAGTGTCACCCAAAGTCTATCATTCATCAAATTTTCTCCTACAAACCTAAAAAACCAAGCCACACTCCATCAAATCATCCACAAAAACACAAATAATTAACGCACGAGAGTCAAGTGATATCATATAGCAATAAAAGTCACAGCCTTTCGGCAATAAAAACAAAACACACCATAAAAGCAGCATCATTTGTTCTTCAATAGCTACAATTTCCATCATAACATAAACATAGATAAAATGAAACCACTTGATAAACATCAGATTTACTTTCTTGATTATTATATATGCAATCCCAAATCAAGAAATTACCAATCTCCCTCATGCAGAACCGCCTTTAACTTGCTCTGCCTCAGGAATCTTGACATACCCAATTTTCTTCACATCCTCGACCTCATCATCACTAAAATCTCCATCAAAATAATCACTATACCGCGACTGGGACGGAGAAAACAAAGACCAAACCAAATACATTGTAGCAGCTGTAAGGGCACCACAACCGACCCCAAAAAGCAAAGCAACAACCACGCTAAGAATATCCTTAGTACGATCACGCAACGAACTCAAATCATAACTGCTAAATCCCTCCCAAAACGACCCCAGTTCGCCTCGGCGAGCAGTTTCTAGGAAACCCTTCTTGTCAGGAATTTCATGGGTATTTCGGTAATTATCTTTTGAGACCACAGGGATGAATCTGCGGTTAAAGAAGGTTAAGGAGGAGGTGGAAGTTGAGGTTTCTTGGATTTCGGTTACGATCAAGAAAGCCGAAGACGGGGTGTTAGTGTTAGGGTTAGGGTTAACGGGTTTGATGGAGAGGGAATAAGAGGAGATGAAAAGGGTTTTGCAGGGTCTTGCTGAGGCTGAGAAGGAGATGAAGCAAAGCAGGATTGAGAAGGAAAGGAGGAGTTTTGACGGTGCCATGGAGGAATGGGAAGAGAGGAAGACAGACAGCCCAGAAGAGAAGGATTGACCGATTTTTTAATTCTCTTGCTGGGAAGGAAAAGTAAATGGAGACAGAGGTTGGCAGGGAGGATTATTTATGTGAGGAAAAAAAATAGAAACAAATAAATTAATTTAAAAAACAGAAATGAAGAAAAATAATTATTTTACCAAAAATAATTAATGGAATAAAAAGCCATAACTAGCCCACGCAAGTAAGATGTGAGACCTTAGGCCCATTGCAAGATGCTGAACTTCAAGGCCTCCTGAAACGCCGCCTTTTTTTTTTTCATCCTACTTCCACCACAAACAAAAATAAACCGGGAAACACTCCCGCCGCGGCCGCCGCCACAACACAGTCATGGAAGCGGAGGATGATTGGGAATCATCTTCAGGAGAAGTTACTGACACTGATCAGTTCAACGATGAAGACATTTACTCCACTTCTACTTCTCTATCCAAGTTGCAATTCAGGTAATAGCAACAGCTAGTGAAAAAAAAATTGATGAAAAGCAAAAAAAAATGATTTTTTATGCAATTTAATGAAGTGGGTTTTGTTTTAAAGTTGTAAAGATTGATTTTTTATTGCTATTAGGAGTGATGCTTCAAAGGCTAAATGGAATGGTGAGATGGGAATGGCTGAAGTTATTGAAAAGAAAGGAAAAATGTGGATTACTACAGGGATTGTTCGTAATGGCAAGACTTTTTGCTTGATTGAGGAGACCTTGTAAGTGATAAAAAAATGGGAAAAAAAAGTAGTTTCCCTGAGGTTTTCTTTTTGTGCCTCATATTGTTATTAGTTGAAGTATGATTGTGTTTTTTTTTTTTTTGTTGAGCTTTAGTTTGAATTTGGAGAGTGTATATACTCAAATCGAATGTAAAGATTATTGCTTTTAACCGCTGGCTAACACACTTTTTAAGCTAAATTTTAAGTTGAGCAAGGCTAATTTTACTGAAAATCGGTAACCCAAAAATTACAACCATAATAAGCTTTGTGGGACTTACCAATGGAATTCACTCATTCTATGAAATGAGATTTTTCTGGAAGTGATTCCAAGGATGAATCTTTTGGTAAATTTATCTCTTAGGATTATTAAACTGATAGATAGATGTGATAAGTGAAGGCTTGAAAGAGTAGTTCTTTTTATGCAACAGCAAATGAAAGATGAGAAAGAAATTTTAAATTTATTACTATAGTTTTGAATGGAAAATAAACATGAATAAGTAATTTTTATGGGTTTTTAAATTATGGTATTGGTGAATTGGTACTTTGTTTGTTGTAGGTTTTTGGCTGAAATAGGGGCATTGCTTGTTATGGATGAAAATGATGAGTGTCTTTCATTGAAAGACATATACAGGAAGATTGCTGAAGAAAAGAGTGGGTGCTGCTGGGAGCTTTTTGAGGTTTATAGACACTTGAAGTCTCTTGGTTACATTGTTGGGCGTCATGGTGTTCCTTGGAGTATGAAGGGTGTTGAGAATAACAGTGAATCTTGTTCTTCTCAAGGGACTATTCAAAAGAACGGGGTTGTAGATACTGAAGTGAATGGAATGACTTGTGTTGTACAGATGCTCGGTAATTTGCAAGTTGATGAGCTGAGACTAAATTTTAACGTTTATCTTCCAAATAGCAAGTTTAGAAAGTCATCACCTGGTGATCCAGCCTTTCTTCTATGCTTAGTTAGGTAAGCATGATAGTAAAGCTGAATAATTTGAAAACCTTTTCCTAAGAGGTGATTGCTTGTTGAAGTTCTTTCATCCCATTTTGTTTGTCCTTCTTTGGTATTGCAGCATTTTAAGGAAAATCCTATCACCCTATTTGTGTTCATCATAGTTCATACTCCCAACTTTTCTTTTCAAGTAAAAAATTGCTTCAATGGATATCTTGGAAAGAATCACATCCATGGTGCGGTGTGCAGGCTGTTAACTGCCATGACAGAAATTTTTGTTGTTGTTGGAATGTTTGTCTGGTATTCGAATAAGCACAGCTTCCCTTTGGAGTATGTTATTATGAGATCTAAGAAGTCCATTGTCATTTGGAAAAGTTGTGCATTGATGATAAGTGATGACTTTCCAATAGGAAGAAAGAAAAAAAAAAGAATCTTATTGCTTACTAAATCCTGCAAATATATGCTGCAAGTTGGATGCTAATTAGAGGAATTTAGGATCATCATATGCCAAGCATGATAGGGGGGCAGGGGTCCTAATGTGTTGCGTCTCATTAGTTTGTTTCAATTTAATGTTGATCTATTGCTCGTTTACTTTCTATGGATACTTTCTCACTTGCCTTACCTTCCAGGGGAAGTCCACCATCCATCACAAAAAGTGCAGCTCTTGAGAGACAGTGTGGTGGGATTCCTTTGAAGTTTTGCCATGTAGAGCATGGGCGTGTCAGTTTCTTTTCCTTCAAAAGGGTGGAACTCCCTGCCCTGCCCTGAATTTCAGAACGTGTTCACTCTTAGCAGCTTCAGCAGCTGATAAGAGGATGCCAAGCATAACTGAGCTCTGTACAGGATTATGCATCCCTTGGCTTAGAGATCTTCGGCTTTTATGCAAATCATTCTCCACACAAAAGTTCTACCGTATGCAGAGATAAATGATATGCAATCACTACTTCTGCTTGTTGTGGATGATATCAGGTCTTTTGATTCTGTTTTATCTCTATTCCCTTGTCGAGAAGACAAGCCCCAACTGGAAAGGATACAGCCTAAGATCCTTTTAGCATCCTGATGCCTATGAGTTTGAGCTTCCCTGAATACCTGGATTTCTACTATAAACTTGCTCTGTCGCTAATGGAGTCACAAAACGATGGAATTCACAGATCAAAAAGAACACAATTGAAACAGCCAGGTTTGGAGACCAGCCAGTCTATGGAGATGAGAACTATACATTCTGGTGATTTTATGGTATGTGTGTGTGTGTGTGTGTGTGTGTGTGTGTGTGTGTTTTTTTTTTTTCCCCAAAATATCAAGGCAGAGCATATTGTGTCAGTTTTATAAATTATTCAGAGTAAGTGTTCCATATTGTTGGGATATGTATATCGGCTCGGTTGTTTCAAAATCTTCAGCATCATTCCTCACTACTGATGTTAGCCCCTAACTGGATCTGTAGAAGTGTTTATGTTCTCATCTTTGAACGACCAATCTTGCTGTTAAAGTTGCTCATTGTTGCAACTTGCAACATTAGAACTCTTCGATACAAGTTGCAACTTGCAACTTGAAGTTTTATGAGTCAAATGATGGTAATTGTTTACTTCATTTTGAAAAATGAAAATGCAAGTAATTTAGTAAAAAATTAAATAAATAAATTTAACTTATGGTTACATGAAAGAAAAAAAGGACAAAGATATTTTCATACGAAAATAAGCAATTAAATAGTTCAAATTTCTTTTAAATTTTAAGTTATTTCATAATTAGTGTGTGATTTATTAAAAAATGGGTGTAAAATAATGAAATGGATTGATATCATTAAAATCAAAGAATAATTTTAAGGGTTTAGAATGGCAATTAAGAAGATTTGTTTTTTTTTTTTTTTTGACTTTTTAGATTCATATTTTAGAGTCAATACTGAGAAGAATTTATCAATTTGAATCCACAAAATTGTTACGAAGGATGTGTTTTTAAGATTATCTAGAGATGGATTTAGTTTCAATTGACTATAAAAACTATTTAATTTATTTCAAAAAAACTACAAAAATATTGTCAAGAATGTGTTTTTAAGAGATAGATTTAGTATCATTGACCATAAAAACTACTTAATTCATTTAAAAAAACTAGAATGACTAATTTATAATTTACTTGTGTGAAAGATAAGGTTTATTTCAAAAAACGAATTAATTAATTTTTTTTGTTTTTAAAACTAGTCATTTTGTTTTTGTATTTTTAAATCTATTTGTAATTTAGTATTTTTTACCTATTTTTTAATTTTTTATTTTAGGACATATAAAAAGAAAAGAAATATGAAAGATCGATGAGGAAAAAATTATGAAATAAAAATAATACTAAATTAAATATGATTAACACTGATCAAAACATTAAATGATAGTTTTTGAAATGAAAATGATTAATTAATTCATTTTTGAAACTAGCAGGACTAATTTGTAATTTACTCGTCGCAGTAAGCTTCCAAAGCTATACAAGTAATACAAACAAATTAAACATATCCTAAACGCAGCCATAACTACATTTTGTTTTACCCTTTGACAAAGACAGGTCAAAAGGAAGAACTACAAATCAATCCAAAGTTACGTAGTCAATAACAAATCAGTTCCCAACTTTAAAATTTTGTTAATTTTTCCAAATCTATCGTTGTTTCATATTCAACCTTCGATCAATTTCCATTACCAAAAATTTTTACAAAACATGGAGTAAATTGAATTTTTTCAATGTCTTCTAAATCACATACTTGAAAAAAATAATAATTAAAGTATAAGTACATTAATTTTTTAATATTTTTAATCGAGTATATAAATTTTAATTTTTTTATTTAATTAAATTAGTTTTTTCAAATCTATCAATCAAGTTTTTTTATTCAACTGTTGTCAATTGCTCCATTATGTAATGATGTTTTATTTTCTTTAGACTACTAAATTGTAATTTTTCTCTTTTATTTTTGGACGAAACTTTCCTTTTTGTATTTTTTTCCTTTTCTACATTTTGAATGTAGGACAATTTACGTATATACTATACAAAAAAAAGTATAATAATTAGAAAGAGAAAGTTTCCTCTATGAATGAGAGGTTAAAATTATAATTTAATAATTTTGAATAAAGGATACGGCATATAAAATACTTGATTGGTAATTTTAAAAGGAAGCAATCAATGCAAAGATTAGATGACACCACCAAGTCTGTAGAACGCCAAACTTAGGGCATGGATAATATATTAATTGAATTCCATCACCGGGATAGTAAATGGTTTACATGAATTAGTAATGGACAATAATAATAATAATAAAATCAAATTAAATTTCTTGCAAATGGATGTTGTAAACAATGAGTGATCATAACTCATAAAGTATGTAATAAATTAAGTAATAAAGATGATTAAATTAACCACTAACGAGATGTGGTTTAGGGATACTAGATTTGGGTTGGTTTAATATAAAGGACAATTCGGTGACCGATTAAAAATTATGTGTGTTTTGACATTAATTTAACTCAAAAAGTGATAGACATAGTTTTGATTAATGAAAAAAAACTAGTTTAAAAGTATCCCACTATCTATAAATATATAAAATAAATGCTTAGATTAAAAAAATTCAAATTCCAGAAGAAAATAAAAGAATATGAAAACTAAGATAGTAAAACAAACACATATAAAATAATAACAAAAAATATTTTATTTTTTATATATACATATAGTGGAGCACCATCAAATCGGTTTTCACATCAATCAAAATTAAGTCTATCATTTTTTGGGTTAAGCCGGTACCAAAACACGCTTAGTCTTTGGTCAACCATTGAACTTTTTTTTAACCAAGTGAGCCCAAGTTTGGCGCAACTAAGAAATAATTATGGTTACTTATCCGTGAATAATAAGAATTAAACTTTGGTGTTAGTCAAATCAAGATAATTTTCTTATCGTTAGATCACATTCCTTGACAATAAAAACAAAATATCATTAGTTATGATTACAACTCACAAGTTTAGCTCATAAAAACGAAAATAGTTCTACAAAAACTTATTACACGTGGAAATAAAAATTTATTTCGTATAAAAAATTTACAATAACATATCAATACCAATATATATGATTTATTAAAAACTCATATGTAAAATAATGTAATTTAATCTCAATTGATATTATTAAAATTAAAGAATGATTTTAAGGGTTTAGTTTGATTGACTAGATGGATTGTTTAATTTATTTCAAAAAACTAAAGGTACTAAATTATAATTTACTTACATCAAAGATAAGGTCTGGTTAATGTAGTAGTAAGCTTACAACATAATATAAACAAATTAAACATTTCCCACCCACAATCATAAGTACAATTTGTTTTAGCCTTTGATAAAGACAAGTCAATTAAAATAAAAAGGAATAACTACAAATCAATCCCAACTTATATAGTCAATAACAAGTCAGTTCCCAACTTTTAAGTTTTGCTAATTTTTCCAAATCTATTGTTGTTTCATATTTATACTTCGATCGATTTCCATTAAGGTAAAATACTGAAATTTGATACAAAAGAATGGATTCAAATGATTTTTTTTTTTAAATGGCTTCTGAATCAAAAACTTGAAAGTATCATATCAAAGAACTTGTTAAAACAAAGAAAGCTTCGGGAGAAACTAGCAATAGTTTGAAAGATAGAGGACTGGTAGGCTAATCACTGCATAAATTGATGACTGAATTGTTTTACCAAAACTGGAAAGGGAAATTTTAAAACCGTACTCATTAATTACTCTTCGTTAATATTCGTAGACTCGAAAGCGAGAAAGAAGAATATCCCATGGGAAGAGCGTAGAGGTTAAGCAAGCAAATGGAAGCAAATTGGCATCCATCTCCATCCATCCTCTTTGCATCCCTCTCTTCTTTTTCTCTCTCTATAATTCCAAAGCAAAGGAGGAAACGGAGAGAGAAAGCAAACGAAAAAAATGGGACTTCTTTCGAATAAGATCGAGAGAGATGTGTTAAAGCCAGGGGATCATATCTACTCATGGAGAAGCGCTTACTTATATGCCCATCACGGTCTGTCTATCTCTCTTTCTCCTTGTTTTTTTGCCTTTTTGGTGTTGTGTAATTTGTGTTTTGGTTGCCCATTTGTTTTTTTCCTTGGTTTTTGGCATTTGACATCAGTGATTTGGATGCCCTTTGGATATAAATTTGAGGAGCAATTGATGTATTGGTGTGTTTTTAGGATGCCCATTTGTTTTCTCATTGGTTTTTGACATTTTGAGAGCAGGATTAATTGTCTGGGAATGCAATGGTGGGACTTTTTGATTGAGTAATGTGCATAAAATGGGGGGATTTTGGTCTTTTTGTGCAATTGGATTGGTGGGTAGTGATTATATCTATGAATTGATCGAACATTAATTTTTTTAATGTTTATGTGATGCCATTTGTGTTGGAGTTTTGTATTGCTGGTTGTTATGGCAATTATTGTAATATCTGTTAATTAATCATAGTTAGATGCTTCTTTATGGAGTTTCATTGGAAGTGATGCAGAAATTTTTGGGTGTAGTAAAGATGTGGCATCGGAACTTTTGAATTTAGAACTTGGTTACAATTATAGGCTTAGAAATGTGGAATGGAATTGGGAAAAATAGGGCTTTTGTTATGCTATTTCTGCTTGGAACAATTGGCAATTGGGCCTGCAGTCACAGAAATATTGTTCTTTTCTCAATACAACTTTCTTGTTCATCTTCTATGTTCTTTCTTTCATCAACCATCAACATGTTGTTCTCTCATCTTTGTTTTTATCACGTTGTCGCTTTTCTTTCATTGTCCTGGTAGTGGGAGTTCCTCAGTCACTGAATTAGTGTGAAAACCTTTGTGCATACAGCTCGATTGATCTGTATATCGTGAAAAATTGCATACTCAAACCAACCATTCTCTAGTTTGTGAGGTTGGTATAGTTGTTTTTGGTATGACAATCAATGAGAAACTTTAAAAGTTTGAAGAGGCTTGGCCTCTTTCTCCAGTGTTCCTACTGGCCTGATTAGCATATATCTTGTGAAATTTGTTTTTACAAGAGTAACTTGCATAACTTTGCTTTTATTCAATGTTTCTTTAGGACAGGATGCATCGTTGTCATTTTCAACTACATTATATGACTGTTCCTGAATTTGATATCATTTCCTGTATTTTGTAGTTTGTGTTTGTTTCACATCATTGAATGTTAGCAAATGTATGTTTGTTGTCCCACTAGAATTTGCATCTTAATCATATTACCAAAGAATACCCACACCATATAGAATAGAATATCCATCAGTACATATATTGTACAAGACTTGTGAGAAACAAAAACCACAATTGGTTTAGTACCAATTGACTTTAAGTGCCATGTATCCACGCTGTCTGTGGGCAATGATGTGGTTCTGCAGGTAACTTTTACATCTCAAAATAAATTTTAACTCACAAGGAGGTCAATTGATTCATGCATAAGTATCTTGCAATCGCCAAAGAAGCCTTCCTATCTGTAATCAGATTGTCTATGCAGTACAACACCTCAAGGGTTTTTCGGTTTGTTCCATTCATGTTGCCAAAATGCATAGAAGAGTTGTCAATCTTTTCCATAAGTACTGATGGATGGTTCCCATCTATTTTCTGCTATGTCCATTTTTTTATTAACTTTTAAATTTTGGGTCAGACATCTATGAATTCTCATGAAAAAGGGCTCTATGATTGTTTGTTTACATTGAGAAAGAGGGAGGGAGGAGATTGCTATATTAATGACTATCATATTTCTTGCATTTTCAATTTTTTCTCTTGATTTGTCAATCCACCTATAACTTATTAATTGTGCACCAAAGTTTTGTCTTTATTAAATATCTGAATTCTCTGCTATCTGATTCTGTTTTACACCCTCAAGATGCAGCATATGCTTGTGTGCATCTAGCTATGGATATGACATTAGCATTTTCAACTTGCTTTTCTAATCAGTACCTCATATGAAACTAGGCATATATGTTGGTGATGAAAAGGTGATCCATTTCACTCAGGCAGCAGGCCAAGAAATTGGCACAGGAACTGTGTTAGACCGTTTTATTTTCAGCTCGTCTCCTTCTCATCCTTCAGAATATCCATGCCCAAACTGTGGTGATCAATCAAGGCTTGATGGTGTCATCTCGTCCTGCATTGACTGTTTCCTCCCAGATGGAGATCTCTACCTCTTTGAGTATGATGTTTCACCAGCTGTCTTCCTTGCTAAACCTCGAGGTGGTACCTGTACCCTTGCCAAATCTGACTCACCAGAAGATGTGCTTCACCGTACTTCTTTCCTCTTGAAGAATGGTTTTGGTGCATACCACATTTTCAAGAACAACTGCGAGGATTTTGCAATATACTGTAAGACTGGTTTGCTCGTTACGACTAACCTTAGTGTTGGCCGAAGTGGGCAGGCCGCTTCCTTCTTAGCTGCTACCAGTGCTGTTGTTTCTACTCCACTTAGATTTTTAACAACCAGATTTAGCGGCCTGGCAGTTGTGGGATATGGAATGTATTGTGTGAACCGGCTCGTATCTGATATCGGAGTACGTTGTGATGTGTCCAAAATCCCTGTTGAGCGGCTTGTTGCCCCTTCTAGCTCAAATGAGTCGGTAGTTGAGCAGCTTGTTACCCCTTCTAGCTCAAATGAGGCAGTAGTTGAGGGTGGCTGACCTGATCAAGGAAAATTAACCTTTTTTACAACAGCAAACTGTGTGAGTGTGTCGATTAAAAGAACTGCAGTGTTGATAATTGCAACTCTTGTTGCAAAATCTCGGATTTACAATGCATCTCCCATAGACCTATTCGTAGATACTCCCGGGAAATGCAGTATATTTTTTCGTTGTGAAAAATGCTTGTTTTGAAGGATAAATTAATATTCATGTTTCAATGCATCTCTCGTCAACCTATTCTCATGTTTCAATGATTCGATAAATTAATCTTCATGCTATGTCTGCAATGATTTGGCCGTGAAGTTGAGATCTTGAGCAGATACTTCCATCACCAAAAATAAATTTAGATGCAGAAAGCATGACAAGATTAATCACTCTTGTCATTAATTAATTTCAGTTCTCACTTTTCTTCAAAAATATATAATTTGAATATGCATAGCATAAAATGTAAAAATATTTCACCTTATTTGGTGATAAATGGATGTATTTTTCACATTATATTTTCAGATTTAATTTTTTTTATTTTTAAGTTCTTAGAAATAATATTTTTATAAATACATCAATTTGAATATATATAGTCCGTCTAAAACAGTAACAATACGTGAAAGCTATTAAAATAAGATAAAAATTTTAAAAAAAAATAGTTATAAAGTATTCTGAACTTTTAATGAAAAGGAAAATAATTTCAAATATTTTTTTTTTATGATTTGGATCTTAAATATTTTGTTTTTAGCAATTAAGTCATTTTCATCAATTTCAGATAATATTAGATATACATGAGAGATGTGGGAGTCATTAAAACAACAGGTATTCTAAAAGATACACTCTCACATACGTAAACTAGTAAAATAATTATTTGTATTCAAAATATTTTATCACCAACTACTACTAGTCAAATAAAAAACTATATAACACAGCGCTTGAGGTAATTGTCTAGCGGTTGAGGGTTTGTCCCGATGACCACCCGGGTTTGACTCTCTCTACGCACGTCCGTTATTTCCGCGATGTCTTACCTGTTCACCGAGCTTGCATGGTGTTTAATGAATCCGGAAATTAGTCGTGGTGCGCACAAGCTGATCCAACCACCTTGAGTTATCAAAAAAAAAAAAAAAAAACTATATCACACAGTATGATATAAAAAATTCAGCCGACTTGGACTTACATTATCATCATTATTTGCTGTAACTTGAAAATGAATGAAAATGGTCACTTGGCAGCACGTGATAAAAAAAATTTAAAAGTTTAAACGTATTGAAAAAAAAAACTAATTAATTAATTATTAATATAAGCAATTTCATATAATTACGTCTTAATTATCATATGCATGTTTGTGGTGCGTATAATCTTTAGTTCCGATTTGAATGTGAGCAAGTATATACTTATTCATATGGTGATTAATTTGCAGGATGATGACGTTTCATGTGAAGCTCTCTCGTAATCCATTTGCAGTAGCTATTAGAAATTTAGAATCAGCTATAGACTCTACTTTTTGAAGTTTTATGAGTCAAATGATGGTAATTGTTTACTTCATTTTGAAAAATGAAAATGTAAGTAATTTAGTAAAAAATAAATGAAGAAATTTAACTTATGGTTACATGAAAGAAAAATGGTCAAAGATATTTTCATAAAATCAAAGAATAATTTTAAGGGTTTAGAATGGCAATTAAGGAGATTTGTTTTATTTTTTGACTTTTTAGATTTAAATTTTAGAGTCAATACCGAGAGGAGTTTATCGATTTGAATCCACAAAACTGTTATGAAAGATGTGTTTTTAAGATTATTTAGAGATGGATTTAATCTTAATTGACTATAAAAATTATTTAATTTATTTTTTTAAAAAAACTATAAAACTGTTGTGTAGGATGTGTTTTTAAGAGATAGATTTTGTTTGAATTGATTATAAAAACTATTTAATTCATTTCAAAAAACTAAAATGACTAATTTATAATTTACACGCGTGAAAGATAAGGTTTGGTTCATGTCATAGTGAGAGTAAATTATAAATTAGTCCCTTTCATTTTAAGAAACAAATTAATTAGTTTTTCTTGTTTTAAAAACTAGTAATTTATTTCTCATATTTTTAAATCTACTTTTAACTTATTCTTTTTTGCTTATTTTCAATGTATTTTGATTTTTTGTTTTAAGAAATAAAAAAATAAAAAAAAGATTAATAGGAAAAGAAGATATTTTGTAAAATAAAAATAATACTAATTTTTTTTTACTAGCACACTCAAAACTTCTAACAGATCTAGTTTGTTAAGATTTAAATTCGTGACTTCTTGTTGTAAGAGATCACTATCACCGAGCTACAAGCTCTTTAGGTAAAAAAAAAATACTAAATTAAATATGATTAACACTGGTCAAAAGATTAACTAATAATTTTTAAAATAAAAATAACTAATTAATTAATTTTTTTTGAAACTAAAGGCACTAATTTATAATTTAATCGTCGCACTAAACTTCCAAAGCTATGCAAGTAATACAAACAAGTTAAACATACCCTAGACACAATCAAAACTGCATTTTGTTTTACCATTTGACAAAGACAGGTCAAAAGGAAGAACTACAAATCAATCCGAACGTACATGGTAAATAACAAATCAGTTCCCAGCTTTAGAATTTTGATAATTTTTCCAAATCTATGGTTGTTTCATATTCAACCTTCGATCAATTTCCATTACCATAAAATACTGAAATTGTTTTTAAAAAATGGAGGAAATTGAATCTTTTTCCATGACTTCTAAATCACAAACTTGAAAAAAGAATAATTACAATATAAATACATCAACTTTTAATATTTTTTTAATCAAGTACATATATATATATTTAACTAAATTTTTTTTTTTAAAACTATCAATCAAGTATTTTTTATTCAACTTCTATTAACTACTCCATTATGCAATGATGTTCGATTTTCTCTAGACTACTAAATTATAATTTTTCTCTTTTATTTTTGGACAAAACTTTCCCTTTTGGATATTGTTTCCTTTTCTACATTTTAAATGTAGGACAATTTAGGTATATACTACAAAAAACAAAAAATCATAATAATTAGAAAGAGAAAGTTTCCTCTATAAATGAGAGGGTAAAATTGTAATTTAGAATAAAAGATAAGTCATATAAAATTTTTGATTGGTAATTTTAAAAGGAAGCAATCAATACAAAGATTAGATGATACCATCGAGTCGTAGAACACCAAACTTAGGACATGGATAAAGTATCAATTGAATTGTATCGTTGAGATAGTAAATGATTTACATGAATAAGTAATGAACAATAATAATAATAAAAAAAAAAACCAAATTAAATTTCTTGCAAATGGATGTTGTAAATAATGAGTGATCATAAGTATGTAATAAATTAAGTAGTAAAGATGATTAAATTAACCACTAACCGATGTGGTTTAGGGATACTAGATTTGGGTCGGTTTGATATAAAAGACGAGTTCGGTGATCTGAAAAAAAATTAGGTGTATTTTGACATTAATTTAACTCAAAAAATGATGAACTTAGTCTCGATTAATGAAAAAACTAGTTCGAAGATATCCCACCATCTATAAATATATAAAATAAATGCTTAGATTTAAAAAAATGAAATTTTAGAAGAAAATAAAAGAATCTGAAAAATAAAAGTAAAAACAAAGATACATAAAATAATAAAAAAATATTTTATTTTATATATATATATATATATAGATAGTGGAGTATCATTGAGTCGACTTTCGTATCAACTAAGATTAAATTTACTATTTTCTTGGTTAAACCAACACCAAAACACACTTAACCTTTGGTTAACTATGGTGCTCTCTTTTAAACCAATGAGCTTAAGTTTGGTATAACAAAGAAATAATTATGGTTAGTTATCTTTCGGTAATGAGAATTGAACTTTGGTATTAGCCAAATAAAAACAATCTCCTTATCGCTAGACCACATCCTTGATAATAATAACAAAATATTACTAGTTATGATTACAACTCAAGAATTCAACTTATAATATGAAAATAGTTCTAAAAAAAATATTATAACATATGGAAATAAAAATTTATTTTGTATAAAAAATTTACAATAACATATCGGTGCTAGTATGTATGATTTATTAAAACCTCATATGTAAAATAAGTTAATTTAATTTTGATTGATATTATTAAATTTAAAGAATATTTTTAAGGGTTTAGCTCGGTGGTTAAAGAAATTTGCTTTTTTCTTTCACTTTTTATGTTTAAACCTTAAAGTCAATATCCAGAGAAATTTATTCCTTTAAATGCATTAGATTAATGTAGAGGTTGTGCCTTTTGAATTTTACAGTGATGAACTTAGTTTTAATTGATTAGATGAATTATTCAATTTATTTAAAAAAAACTAAAGGGACTAATTTATAATTTACTCACATCAAAGATAAGGTTTGGTTCATTTGGTAGCAAGCTTCCAAAGCCATACAACATAATATAACAATTCAAACATTTCCCACGCACGATCATAAGTAAATTTTGTTTTAGCCTTTGATAAGGACAATGCAATTAAAATAAAAAGGAATAACTACAAATCAATCCCAACTTACATAGTCAATAACAAATCAGTTCCCAACTTTTAAATTTTGCTAATTTTTCCAAATCTATTGTTGTTTCATATTCATGCTTCGATCGTTTTCTGTTACCGTAAATTACTGAAATTTGTTACAAAAAATGGATTCAAATGGTTTTTTTTTTTTTTTTAAATGGGTTCTAAATCAAAAACTTGAAAACTTGGGGAGAAACTAGAAATAATTTGAAAGATGGAGGACTCGTAGTTTATCACTGCATAAATGGATGACTGAATTGTAGTTTTACCAAAACTGGAAAGGGAAATCTTAAAACCTTACTCATTAGTTACTTTTCATTAATATTCGTAGACTCGAAAGAGAGAAAGAAGAATACCCATTGGGAAGAGCATAGAGGTTAAGGAAGCAAGCAAAGGGAAGCAAATCGGCATCCGTCTCCATCCATCCTCTTTGCAGCCCTCTCTTATTTTTCTCTCTCTGGAAGTCCAAAGCAAAGGAGGAAACGGAGAGAGAAAACAAACCAAAAAAAATGGGACTTCTTTCGAATAAGATCGAGAGAGATTTGTTAAAGCCAGGGGATCATATCTACTCATGGAGAAACGCTTACTTATATGCCCATCACGGTCTGTATAACTCCTTTTCTCCTTGTTTCTTGCTTTTTGGTCTCGTTTAATTGTGTTTTGGTTGCCCATTTGGTTTTTTTCCTTGGTTTTTGGCATTTGAGATCAGTGATTTGGATGCCCTTTGGATTTAAATTTGAGAAGCAATTGATGTTTGGGTGTGTTTTTAGGATGCCCTTTGGATTTAAATTTGAGAAGCAATTGATGTTTGGGTGTGTTTTTAGGATGCCCATTTGTTTTCTCATTGGTTTTTGACATTTTGAGAGCAGGATTAATAGTCTGGGAATGCAAAGGTGGGGCTTTTTGATTGAGTAATGGGCATAAAATAGGGGGATTTAGGTCTTTTTGTGCAATTGGATTGGTGGGTAGTGATTATATCTATGAATTGATTGAACATTAATTTTTTTAATGTTTATGTGATGCCATTTGTGTTGGAGTTTTGTATTGCTGGTTGTTATGGAAATGATTGTAATATCTGTTAATTAATCATAGTTAGATGCTTCTTTATGGAGTTTCATTGGAAGTGATGCACAAATTTTTGGGTGTAGTAAAGATGTGGCATCGGAACTTTTGAATTTAGAACTTGGTTACAATTATAGGCTTAGAAATGTGGAATGGAATTGGGAAAAGTAGGGCTTTTGTTAAGCTATTTCTGCTTGGAACAATTGGCAATTGGGCCTGCAGTCACAGAAATAGTGTTCTTTTCTCCATACAACTTTGTTGTTCATCTTTTATGTTCTTTCTTTCATCAACCATCAACATGTTGTTCTCTCATCTTTTTTTTATCATGTTGTTGCTTTTCTTTCCTTGTCCTGGTAGTGGGAGTTACTCAGTCACTGAATTAGTGTGAAAACCTTTGTGCATATAGCTCGATTGTCCTGTATATTGTGAAAAATTGCTTACTCAAGCCAACCATTCTCTAGTTTGTGAGGTTTGTTTAGTTGTTTATGGTATGACAATCAACGAGAAACTTTAAAAGTTTGAAGAGGCTTGGCTTCTTTCTCTAGTGTTTCTACCGGCTGATTAGCATATATCTTGTGAAATTTGTTTTCTTAAGAGTAACTTGCATAACTTTGCTTTCTTATTCAATGTTTCTCTAGGACAGGATGCATCGTTGTCATTTTCAACTACATTATATGACCGTTCCTGGATTGATAGCATTTCCTGCATTTTGTAGTTTGTGCTTTTTTCACATCATTGAATGCTAGCAAATGTATGTTTGTTGTCCCACTAGAATTTGCATCTTAATCGTATTACCAAAGAATACCCACTCCATATGGAATACAATATCCATCAGTACATATATTGTACAAGGCTTGTGAGAAACAAAAACCAAAATTTGCTTAGTACCAATTGAATTTAAGTGCCATGTATCCATGCTATCTGTGGGCAATGATATGGTTCTGCAGGTAACTTTTACATCTCAAAATAAATTTTAACTCACAGGGAGGTCATTTGATTCATGCATAAGTATCTTGTAACAGCTAAAGAAGCCTCCCTATCTGTCATCAGATTGTCTTTGCGGTATAACTCGTCAAGGGCTTTGGGTTGTTCCATTCATGTTGCCAAAATGCATAGAAGCGTTGTCATCTATTTTCTGATGGATAGTTCCCATCTATTTTCTGCTCTGTCAATCTTTTTTCTTTACTTTTAAATTTTGGGTCAGACATTTATGAATTCACATGAAAAAGGGCTCTATGATTGTTTGTTTACATTGAGAAAGAGGGAGGGAGGGAGGAGATTTCTATAATAATGACCCATATTTCTTGCATTTTCAATTTTTTTCTCTCGATTTGTCAATCCACCTATAACTTATTAATTCTGCACCCAAATTTTGTCTTTATTAAATATATGAATTCTGTGCTATCTGATTCTGTTTTATACACTCAAGTTGCAGCATATGCTTTTGTGCGTCTAGCTGTTAGTGTGCAATTTGAAGTTATGGATATGACATTAGCATTTTCAACTTGCTTTTCTAATCAGTTCCTCAAATGAAACTAGGCATATATATTGGTGACGAAAAGGTGATCCATTTCACTCGAGCAGCAGGCCAAGAAGTTGGCACAGGAACTGTGTTAGACCGTTTTATTTTCAGCTCTTCTCCTTCTCATCCTTCAGATAATCCATGCCCAAAATGCGGTGATCAATCAAGGCTTGATGGTGTCATCTCGACCTGCATTGACTGTTTCCTCTCAGGTGGCGATCTCTACCTCTTTGAGTATGATGTCTCACCAGCTCTCTTCCTTGCTAAACCTCGAGGTGGTACCTGTACCCTTGCCAAATCTGACTCACCAGAAGATGTCCTTCACCGTGCTTCTTTCCTCTTGCAGAATGGTTTTGGTGGATACCACATTTTCAGGAACAACTGCGAGGATTTTGCAATATACTGTAAGACTGGTTTGCTTGTTATGACTAGTATTAGCGTTGGCCGAAGTGGGCAGGCAGCTTCGTTTGTAGCTGCTACCAGTGCTGTTGTTTCTTCACCACTTCGATTTTTAACAACCAGCTTTAGCGGCCTAGCAGCTGTGGGATATGGGATGTATTGTGTCAGCCGGCTGGTTTCTGATATCGGAGTACGTCGTGATGTGTCCAAAATCCCTGTTGAGCAGCTTGTTGCCCGATCCAGCTCAAATGAGTCAGAAGTTGTAGCTGACCTGACCAAGGAAAATTAACCTTATTTACCAACAACAAACTCTGTGTGTGTGTGTGTGGATTAAATGAAATTTAGTGTTGATTATTGCAACTCTAGTTGCAAAAACTTGGATTTACAACGCATCTCCCAGCGATGCTCCCAGCAAATGCAGTATATTTTGTCATTGTGAAAATACTTGTTATGAAGGAATTGGCTTGAAATTGTTGATTCGTGGACAAAATCTCTGGATTTGTTAGCTTATTTTTTTGCCTGCTCCCGCTATGCTATGCATGCAATCTGGTGACGAAAGTTGGTATTACTTACCTAGGCTCTGTAAAGTGATGTGTTGGGAGTGTTGGGTAGGCTTCACACATCAAGAAATTTGGTTGGGTCTTCTGTTTTGCATTTTCTAAGTACTTCAGATTTCATTCTCATCTAAAAATTACTGGACGATCTTTAGGAAATATTTTGGAACTCAAAGTTCCATCACCATGAAAACAAAACATGACCAAAAAAATTTCAGGTCTAGGATACTGAAATAAAAGAAAGCCATTACTGGAAGTGAAAACCCTATTGCTGCATCTAAAGATCAAATAGCCAAAGGCCATAACGAATCCATAGAAATGCTTACTGCAAGTTAGAATGCATGCACGTATACATTGTTTTGATACTAGAAAATACATATACGTATCCCATTTTTATTTACCTTTTTTTCCTCCTTCTATAATTTTACCATAAGGAAAATCAACAAATCATTCATGCTGACGATGTTGTTTGCAAATTAAATCTAGGCAAATTAGCCACAAAAAGAAGCATGGAATGAGAACCAGTTTGAGTATTCATATTGAGAAGATGAAGTGCTGTTGTTGTTACATAATCAAACACATGTTCTTACTCCAGAGAATAACCAAAAGAAATTACATTACCCATTTAACACAACCATTTACTAATTGAAAATAAGAAATCATCTAATTCCATCCTTGTATACAATCCTCAACTTTGTGCACATTGTCCTTTCCATCTTCATCTGAATCATCATCAGCATTAATCTCTTCAATTTTCTGGCGAAGGACAGAACAATAGGACTTTCCTATCAGTTGAGATATAAAATCTGAAGAGATCCCACCCATGCCACAAAGCTGGTTCTGTAAGAGTTGGTGCAGATGAAAAATACCTAAAATAAACAAGAAGATCAGAAAATCACAAGCCAAACAATTTTCAATGTTTGAATTGAATTTCTTGTTTTTTGCAGCTGAAGAACTTTCTTTTTACTTGATTGCATTTGTTAGGTTAGAGATACAAACCTGTGCTCCAGCACTAGCTGAACTGAAACTCATGAGGACTCCTCATAGAGTTTGTTGACCACAAGCAAGTCCAAAGTGGATATCACATTTTTCCATCAGGTCGAAAGCAGATGCCCAATCAGCTCTAGAATGAGGCTCGTGAAAAGAAAAGTTCGACGGCTGGAAGTTTATGCCGGGCAGAATTCCATAGCATTTGCATTCTACTGCTCATCAAACCAGTCAAGAGAGATATTTTTGGAACATTTTATCGGCCATTGTGACCTAATGCAATACACTAAAAAGAATCAGTTGATGCAAAAACAAAATAATAAATCAATAAAAATGATGAAATACTAGAAAGCTACCTAACAGGAACATTCAGGGGAGCAGATGGAGATGGATGACGAGTTATTGCCGCAAATCATACCAGAAGATACTTGAAGCAATGAATTTGCACCAGAATAAGAAGCTATTCCTCTGCACCAAAACAAAAAAGAATCGACCAACTCTTCAATTGTATCATCGATTCCAATCTGACTTATAACAACTTATCATCATTGAATGTGCAAACCATAACAGAGGAAACACTAACATACACCATGAAAGTAGAATAGGGCAACGAAGCATCATTATGTGAAATTGCAAGTACCCAGCAGATCCTGAACTTGCCATGTAATAATTTCACCGACAAAAAAAGGAATACGAGTACGAAAATTGCAGTGAAAAAACCGACACCCCTCAAAAGATCCCCGAGAAGCCCAATCACTATAATCTCTGTGTTTCAACCACAATAGAGGATTTGTTGAATTATAAATAATATGAATCACACCTTACCATCACTGAATATTCAAACCATAGAACGGGAAAATCATTTATAAAGATTTATAAGGTCATAAAAACAAAGAACAGGGCAATCATAATTAAATGGCAAGCAAATCATAAAAATGTATTATTTACACAGATCATTTATAAAGATTTATCTGGAAATCGGTACACACACATCATGAATTTTCCATGTAATAATTTCACTGAGAAAAAAAGTATGCGAAAGAAAATTACCAAGGAAATGACATCTCGAATCATATTCGAAAAAGCCAATCACTCTAATCTTCTTATCTTCAGGATCCTTGGATTACTTTCTTGTTGATTATGATGTTAGGGATGTGAGCTATCTTAGGCCAGTCCTCTCCTCTTTCTCTCACACACCTTTTCTCCAGATCTGGACAATTTTCAATGGTCAACTCTTTCAGCGTATTGAGACTCTGTATCCCGTCCGGCAAAGACATCAACTTAGGGCAATCCAAAATGTATAACCATGAAAGGGACGTGAGATATCCAATCTGATTTGGCAAACAAGATAATCCTTTGCAATCATGGATTAAGAGAGATCGGAGAGAAGTGAGGTGTTGGATACTCTCTGGCAGTGTAATCAACTCTGGACATTTAGAAAGATGCAAATCCTCCAGTGCCGTCAGATAGCGAACTCCCTCAGATAGAGAGGCAAATTTAGCACAATTGTCAACATGTAAGTTACGAAGAGAAGATAAGCCACGCAATCCATTGGTTGGCAGAGAATTTAATCGATCGCATTTCCATATATCCAATGTCTCCAAAGAATTGATATTCTGGAGACCTTCTTCCGGCAAGCTTTCAAGTTCATCACAAGCCCCGATATGTAAGGTTTTAAGAGAAGATAGGTTATTTAATATCTGATTTGACAATGACTGGAGATTTGGAAGAGAATAAATTGTTAAGTGCTGAAGGAGTGTATGGTTTTGCAACAACCCATCGGGTAGAAGCTTTAAATTGGGAAAGAGTTTAAGGTCAAGGGAGGTAAGCCAGTGGGAATATTTGACATTCGTCAACAACGTAACATTGACATTTTGAAGGACTAATTTTTTGAGGGAGGGTATAATTGGCATTTCATCCAACATAGGGCAATCCTCCACGTTCAATTCGTCAAGGACAGGAAAACTCTCCATTTCAGTAACTGTTGCCCATACCTTTACGTTCTTCATTGATTCAAGAAATAGAGTCTCCAGTGATGGGAACGGATTTTCCACATCTCCATACACATCACTCCCAATACACTCCACACCATCCATTCCCCTTAAGTAAAGACGCTTAAGGAACTGTAGTTGCCCAAATGGTGGAAGCTGTTGACAATTGTCACAACCTTCTAGAGAGATTTCCACTAGATTTGGTACCAGCAAGTTGAGGTTCATCATCCAATTTGGAAATTCTGAACCTCCGTATCCACTTATACTCAGCTTCTTCAGATTTGGATGGGGTTGAAGGCCATCGAGGACCCCTTTAATATTTTCCGGGATAACACTGGCATTCCCATACCAAGACAAACTCAGTGATTGAAGATTTGCCTTCTGCACCAAATTGGCACTCTTGGCATCTGTTACATCTTTCACATTACCAATATTTGTTATGCTCAATCCGTCGCCTAGATAATTCAACCTCCCCAGCTCCTGTATACGATAACCATTTTCTTCACCCGCGAGGAACAAGCTAAGCTTTCGCAGGCAAGTCAATTGTCCCATTCCAGTAGCCATGCAACGAAGTGCATCACAACCTCTGAGGTCAAGATACATGAGATCTTTCATGTGCTTCATACCTTTCGGTAACTTCAGCAGCTCTTGGCAGTATCTCAAATTCAGAGTTTGCAAGTTTTGGAGGGAGGTGATTGATTCAGGTAGTGTCTTGATGGAGGAGAAGGAGACATCAAGATACCTTAGCTGTTTCAACCTACAAACGGACTGGGACATTTTCTTAACATCATCAAAACCACTTATATCCAAGACTCTTAGATGCTTTTGTTTAGTGAGGCACAAGTCAAGAATTTCACTCCCCCTTCCATTGCTACCAAAATAATAATAATGCAGAAAAAATGATCGCAATGATTGGACATCGAGACATTTATGATCAGAAGAACAAGCACCATATCCATTCCAAAAACCCACATGACGAACTGTTTCGGAAATGCCCACCTTGCTATTGCTGTCGACCGAACAACATTCATGTTTCATAATTGATTGTGCAAGATCATGTATAAGATCATGCATCTTACATGTTATGTTGCCTTCTTCATCCTCCTCAACCTCTTGAAAAAATGATCTGCAGACTAATTCACTAAAAATCTCCTGGCCCTTGTCATGCAAATCCTTTTGCCCTTTAGAAGAAATGAAGCCGTTTGCCATCCACACAGCTATCAGCCAGTCCTTCTCGATGAGGTGATCTTTAGGGAATATAGAGCAAAATGCAAAGCATTGCTTCAAATGTGGTGGAAGGTTAGCATAACTTAACCTCAACGCAGGCAAAATCTCTTTCTCGCCTTCTTGTAAATCCCACATCTCACTCCCTTCAATAGCTAACCACTCAGTTTCATTTTTCTTCAACCACATCAGCTTTCCAAGTGCCTTTATAGCCAAAGGAACCCCACCGCACTTGTTAACTATTGCTCTCCCAGTTGCCTCCAAGTTTCCATAATCTTCTCTCCTTTTCCTCTCAAATGCAAATCGCTCGAACAAAAGCCAAGAATCATCATCGGATAACCTTTCCATGTGCTGAAGTGAAATTGGATCCATACGACGAGCCGTCTCAATACGGATAGTTATCAAAACAGCACTACCTTTAGCTCCACACCTTAACAAGTCCTTCAGACTGCTCCAACTATCAAGGAACTCATCCCACACATCATCCAATACAAGCAGAAACTTCTTTCCACTTAACTTTTCGTGGAGACGTTTCTGCAAGGGATCCAACTCAGTAACACGACAATCGCCTTCAATAGACTCTATCATGGCTCTTGCCAACCTTCTTATAGAAGAATCATCAGAGACACATACCCAGATTGTCAAATCAAAATGCTCTTTCACCTTTTCTTCGTTGCTGATCAATTGAGCAAGCGTTGTTTTGCCAAGCCCGCCCATCCCACATATAGCATAAACTGAGAGATCACCTGAACTGTTAACCAGTGAATTGATTAGCTCTTCTTTCTCCTGCTTTCTTCCATAAATTTCTGATTCATTCACCAGAGACCAGGTCTGACGCCAATCAAAACTATCTGCTTCGATGTCCCGAGCTCCCACTGTTAGGTGGAAGCTTCTCTCCTCACGGATGACTTCTAATTTTTCTCTGACATTCTTCAATCTACGTGCCATTTTTACTCGAAAGAAGATTGGATTCTGATTCTTAGAGAAGAAAGACCTTACTGGGCTTTTAAGATCACCTTGCTGTCTGCGCCTTTGAACTTCAATTTCGAACTCATCAAGCACATCCTCTGCATCATAAGCTGCATCCTTGAGCTTCCTGAGCCAATTCTTTACAGCAACATTCTTCCACTGTTTTTCCTCTGCATCCTGAAGGACATCTTGAATCATACTCAGTGAGCTTTGGAGCTTCTCAAGGTCAGGTTTTAGGCCCCAAGCAAGTCCAACCTCTTCAAATGCTCGTGAAGTCAGCTTCTCCAAGATTGGACTCACAAGAGCAGAAACAAGTGCATCAGCCATAGCTTGCTTAGTTGCTTTCCTAAGAACAAATCAAAACTTTGCAGCAAGAAACTGAAAACCAGCAGCTAAACTTAATGCTAGCTAGGATGTCTGGAAGAGATGGTAATGAGAACGGGATGAAAGCGTAGAGAGGAAACTAATGTTTCAGTATTGCTATAGTTAGTGCACACTTTTCTTGCATTAAATTCAACGAACTTTGAATTTTCTGCTTTCCTTATGTGACAAGAGTACATATTCTTTGCTTTCCTTATGTGACAAGAGGACATATTCTTTCCTTATGTGGAAGAGATGATATTTTCTTTCTTGTATTTAACGTCTTTGCTTTACTTTTGTGACAAGAGGACATATTCTTTCACGCTGGCTCCACACGGTGTTGTATACTACGGGATGATTGCGCTACAAGTACATATCTAAAATATAGACTTTTTGCACTCAATTTGTTTTGAAAAAAATTAATAATTAAAAAAATGAAAAGAATTGAGAAATACTATAAAAAATCAAAATAACAATTTTGAAAGTTCTTAATAAATTTGA